CTTCGGCCACATGATGCCTTCGGCCACATGATGCCTTCGGCAACATAACTATCGACGAAGATTCCTTTTAAAGACAGCCAACCACCGCATTTAATATGGCGTAACATCCACCCACAGCATTTAATGCGGTGCACATGCATATGTCAGTTCCACTCCGATTGAGGTGACCCCTCGGCCGTTAGATTGTTGACATGTGTACTCTCATCGCATTGTAAAACACACAACTAGTTCATTTAATAGATTTTGACTCTCTCTTACTTGTTGTTCTGACTTCTTTCTAGTTATTCTCCGAAATAACTCCTCGGATAAGCTACTCCCGTGTACGCTATCCATCATAAATCATTCTTAATTTATTCTTATTTTATCAATTTTGTAATAGTAATTATAATAGTCGTACCATTACAAAAGTAGTGATTATAATGATAGTCTAATTAGCAAATTTTATGGTACGTTCAAATTGCCTTAACCATATGGGCTTGTACTTGTAAAAATTACATACCAGTATAAAGAAATGATGAAATCGTGATTTTCAAAGGCATGACAGATACATTACACTCATTCTATAATACTCCCTCCTTATAATAATAAAAGTATTATCAATAAAAGTATTATGGTGTGTATACGATAAATGATAAAGTAGGAAAAATAATATATTAAGAAGAGTAAATTGATGATAAAATAGGAAAGATTGTACATCAAGAAGAGTAAAGTGATGATATAATAGAAAAGAAAAAATAGCGTGTAAAAAACAGATTAAAAGTAATAAAATAGTGATGATATAATAGAAAAGAAAAAGTAGTGAGTAAAAGTAATAAAAGTGAAAGTATTTATCTCAAAAGCAAGTATTAAAAAACAGATTAAAATGAAATAAGAATGAAATAAGAACCGTGGGGTCACATTTCAATTTTCTTACCTCATTCTTCAAAATGGTAGGATAAAACACTTTAGAAATAACAATTATAATTGTAATAGTGATTGTACAACAACACTACACTAACCATAAAAAAACACTACACTAACCATAAAAAACACTAGACTACCTATGCGACCAATATATAGTACGGAGTATTTCGGATCTCCACACAGGGAACTCCATTATTCATCAGCAAAAAAAAAATGGCTAACTAAAATTTAACCGAGGTTTATATACTTTATAAACCACATTGAAAAGAAAAGCATCGAAAGCATGTTAGATGAAACAACGTGACTAATTATAGCACATGCCTCTCTCCTCGTACAGCGTACGCCACCGCTTCTAATCTAATCTGTCGATCCGTGGTCTAATCACACCCCCTTTGGATTACGTCTTTGGCAATGTCTAAACCACGACGACTCTTTTCCGTTTTGTGGATCCGATGGCTCGGATTTCACCTCCCCCAACGGCGGTTGCAGCCGCAGCTCATTATCCTGCTCCGCCGATCCATGCGCAACCTCCCTCGCCCGCTTCGACCCGATCGGAACCCCAAATATTGTTGCTCTTGGTTCGCCAGGATCCTGTTCGGTCCCTCCGCCGCAAGCTGCAGTAGTCGGCATAAGATCCAGCGGCTTTATTGGTCTCGAACTGCTTTCTGCGGTAGAATAATTCGACATTAACTGGTATATGTTGTTGCAAAGCTTCTTCATTTCGCTTAGCTCCTTGTTGAGCCGCGTGTTCTCATTCCTCAGGCGTTCGTTCTCGCCGATGAGCTCCTCCGTGCTGCCTCCACAGGCCACTTCCCTGATGGCCGTTCCTGGAGATGAATTGGATGATACAACTTGCTCTTCGCACGAATTCGAGGGCGATACCGTCTTTAGGGGAAGCGCAGGCGCGGGGGCGACCACCGTGACCGCAGCAGAGGCAACAACGGTGGCTGTCGCAACCACCCCCGTCGTAGCAGACGCAACTTTACGGCGCTGTATTTCACATAACAAGCGTTTCTCACCTCTCCGGAAGAAATCGTTCGCGAATTCCCAGCGGTCAGGCACGACTTTCCGGAATCCCTGAAATTCATAATCAATCAAATCGAAATTAAAGCATTAAATCCTCAGATCAAAATCTTCCGATGCGAAATTGACGGATTTAGAACTTACGTATGTGTTGAGTTGTCTGACGAAGCTGGAGAAGTTGTTGTGCTTGAAATACTTAGGGAGCAAATCTCTGGCGAACTCAGTTGGATTCCACACGACGAAGGTAGATCCGTCGTGGTTCCATGAGATAACGTCGTCGACGGAACGGTCGTCGACAAGCTGGTACGTTTTCGTAAGAAACGGCGTCGGAGTCGTCCTCTGCGCCTCTCCGCTGACTGTTGTTTCTCCTCCGTTACGCTCCGCTGGGAACGGAGGACCCATAGATGATATTAAACCGTACCTGAATCGAAACAGAAACAATTAACAGATAAATCAAAAGTAAATTGAATCCAAATTTCAGAAGAGAAATCAGAACAGGAGGGCGAACTTTGACGAAGTCACTGGTGCAGATCTGCTGTTCAGAGTAACGCCGTCGATGAAGGTGGTGGTGAGGGGAGAGGGTGGTAGCGAGGAGGATGGGAATGAATGGTAATTCTAGAAGGTTCGGATGGGTGGATGGTACTTATTTGGGTTAGGTGTGGAAACAGCTGGAAGGTACAGTAAATACAGGAAAGTTCAAGAAAAAAGAGGAGATTGCGAAAAGAATTTTAAAGAGGGGAGATTGTGATATTTAAGGATTTTCGAGAAGTTTCCTTCCACATATGTTACGACTTCTAGGCGTCGTCCATTGCGGATAATAAAAAGTGGTTGAGAAAGAGAAGTACTCCGTAGTATCACATTACTGAAAAAAATAAAAGAAATTTCGAGTTTTACTAAATTTGTTGCTGATTTTTTTATATAATAATAAAAAAATGAAATAATTTTATGAAATTCTTATGCTTATTATGAGAAAATTAAAATGACAAAACTATAAGGGAGACTTGGGTACTTGGACGCTTTTCGGACCCAAATCATACCAGACTCGTTTAGACCAAATCAGTTCAGATCAGATCATACTTCGATAGTTATAAAAATGTAAAGGGACCGGATATTATCAGACTAGACCAGTTCAGACCAGATTAACCAGATCATCAAATTATAATCCAAGTAAAAACATTCTTGGTTAGGCATTATTTTTGTGTAATGCAGTTTTTTTGGCAAATATGTATAATGGTTTTTTGACAGACGGTTGTGTCTTTATTACAAAAAATCATGGATTTTAAAACCCAAAATTTGAAACAAATCGCAAAAACTCATAATCTCAAAATTATTAAGGCTTTTTTTCATGACTAAATTAAATTTAAAAGATAAAAATATGATTTATTTTATAATTTTCAAAAAAAAAAAAGACATACGCCGTATTTAGTAACTGGCTCACAATGACTTGTCAAGCCCGTTTGGTTAAACTGAATTTGGCTGAATCGGCCAATTGTGCTGAAATTTATGAAGTTCTGATCGAAGTGATTGTATTGGCTGATTCTACTGATTTATGAAAAAACTATACTCCGTATGTAAAATACTGTTCATCAATAAAATAAAGATAGAATTATATGAAAAATAGCTAAAATGATCCTCTATAGTAACTTCAGTCAATGCAGTCAGAAATGTAACTCTGGTCTTACTTATTTTGATTATTACACTATTCAGCGCGCAAAATAAAAAATTACGTGTTTAATGAAAAAGTTGGCTAATCAGGCTGAAAAGCCAAAAAACAGGGTTACCAAACGGGTTCGTATCTACAATGACTTGTTATTCTAATTCATAGTGATTCGTAAACACGGACTAGTCATATTTCTGTACAAAAACACAATTAGTCATATTTTTTCGGAGAAACTAATATACATGTAACTTTTTCAATTATTAAGTCTTTTATTCCTAATTATTCCTAATGACACAAAAACACTCGAAAGAAAAGACGAAAAGAAAACGTGAAAAAGAAAAGGAAAGGGAAAATAAAATGCCAAGTGGGCTCTTAACTGATTGATTTTCACCGGTTAAAAAGTTCAAGTTTTCAATCGAATGTTTTTAAAATAGGACCTAATCGGATTTTGAGTATAATACGAGGCTTATCCTATAGTTTTTCCCAAGGTAAGATATTTTTGTGTGTGAATGAAATGTGTGGAGTAAACCAATGCACCCTAAATAATTCGTTTTTGTCTCACTTTCTTTTGCACAAAAATTATACTTTTTGACATTGTTTGAACATTGTTTTGCATCTTATCTCATTATTTTGCATTGTTTTATTCACTAAATAAGGAAATGACACTTTTTTAAAGGATGGCCTGAAAAAAGGAAAGTAAGTCTTTTAAATATATACAGATGAAGTATAAAGTTGGCACATTAATCCCCTGTAATTTTTAAAAATACGTAAGTGTTTGTGTTATAATTATTCATGCGTAAAATACTCTTTAGAAATAAATTTAATTACCAAATAAATGGAAAATGATTACTATTTTCGCATAATTTAGAGATCTTGACAAGTTTACTTGTATATACTACTACGTATTTTCGCATAACTGTTTAACTGCGCAGTTATCTTCAAACAATTATTTGATTACCTTCTCAGTTGCATTTTTAGCTGAAATTTGGTATGGGTAAACTAGACTTAATGAAGAAGATGCTCAAAAAAATTCATCAAAAAATCCACCGGTAAGAACATCTCCAATGCTAAAACGTTAATTGTGCATACGTGGCATGAGAAACAACCAATTAAAAAACAATAAATAGAATATATATCTCCTTATTTGAATGGCCTTACATCATTTTGGTAAGTTTCTTTTTTCACAATGTCAAGCACAATATCTAGATGTAGACATTGTGGTTGACATTGCAGACAAAAACTTACCAAAAACACATAAGACCGTGGAAAGAATGAGAGAAAAATGTCATAAAATCAATATTTTGTGTCATCTTTCTCATTCAACATGTGCACCGTGCACATTGTAGCATTGGAGATGCTCTAAGCACCCTAAATAACGATGGTGGGACAGAGCCTTTTATAAAATGGAGGATATGGAATTTTTCATATTCTAGAGCTTATTTCCTCGTTTTGACACATCGGTAGCACAAAAAGGGTTTAGCAGAGCATTTGAGCCATTTCCACTTCTCAATCATTCTCAACGACGATGGCCCTAGAACTCTGGGAGACTTTGAAAGCCGCTATAACAACATACACAGGTCTATCCCCGGCAACTTTCTTCACAGTTTCTGCTCTTGGTCTTGCAATCTACTATGTGGCTTCCGGTCTCTTTGGATCATCTGACCGTGGGAGGTCCTATGAGTTCGAGGAGAAGGGCGAGCCTCTTCCGCCGCCAGTTCAGGTCGGGGAAATCACAGAGGAGGAGCTGAGGCAGTACGATGGGTCTGATCCCAAGAAGCCTTTGCTCATGGCCATCAAGAGCCAGATCTATGATGTTTCTCAAAGCAGGCAACCTTTCTTTGCCTTTCATCTTATGTTATACTCCGTATTATTTATGTGTTTCGTAGTTAAGGTTCCGATTTTGAATTTTCTTGTGCTTTTGTGAAAAGCCCCTTTTCTTTTGCTTTAGCTTTAGCTTTGGATCTCTTTATCACTGTTAAGAGCTAGTTGGTCACTCAAAATTTGACTGAAATAGCTGGATTATGAAGTAATCATGTTTCAAATATGTTTAAATAATAAAATAAAGTAAAAAAATACTTGAAAAAATCTAAACCTTTATACTTATTTACTTATTTTGATTTTGATAATTTCAATAAAAAATTAGTCTCGGTAAAAAAAAAATAGGCTGCCAGAAAAGGACTACCAAACAAGTACTAAGTATCTATATTTAGAAGGAACATGTTTTAACATCACACAATTCCAAACTCTGGATTGACATTTCCTTTGCGTTGAGTTCTGGCATTTTTCATTTCAAAACAATAAAAATCGAAAAAAAGGCGCTGTGCAGAAAAGACAAATTCCGAATTAGGATAAAACTATATATTGTTTGGGAATGCCTGAGCAAAAGAAGTAACTTTCCCATTGTAAATACAATCCCAAATGGAACCTTAAGTATGCTTCTAGACAAAACTCCTATTTTATCAAAATCATTCCTATTTCACCCACCTTGTACTCACTGGAGGTGTCTAGACTCGAGAACTTAAACAATGGCAAAAAAAACTCTTTGCATGGCATTGCTGACATGCAAATAATTGCTAAACTTGCTTATTTGTTAGTTTACTTTGGTATGAGACATTCATTATCTTCTATTCCATAGTGTGGTGTGGCATCTTTTCACTACAAAAACAACTTGTTTATTGGAGAAGCTGGTTGATCGTATGTAACATTCTTGAATGCTGCAGAGTGTTTTATGGGCCTGGGGGGCCATACGCGATATTTGCAGGAAGAGATGCAAGTAGAGCGCTTGCTAAGATGTCCTTTGAGGAAAAAGATCTCACGGGCGACATCTCTGGGCTGGGTGCATTTGAGATTGACGCTTTACGTGACTGGGAATACAAATTCATGAGCAAATACGTCAAGGTTGGGACTGTCAAGGCCACAGTGCCTGAAGGCGGTGATCATGGCAGTGGTTCTAGTTGTGAGGGACCTTCTGAGACAGCAGGCGGAATTGTTAATCATGTGGAAGATGGTCCATTGGAGAGTTCTAAGCCAGTAGATCGCGCACCATCTGAAGCTGCTCCGCAGGCTGAAACCACCACTATTACATCTGGGGGTGGTGGTGAGAAGAAAGATTGATGTTTGTTTATAGAGCATGCAAAAACTAATTATTATTCCCCAATGTATAACAATTTTAGCCCCTCATAGGTGATCAATCTGGTGAGGAAAGGGGAGGTGATGCTCCACTTTTGCCGCCTACTATATCCCCCCTTTTCTCATCTTTGCAGGACTATCGAACACATTTTTAAGTTTGTTCATTTCTATGTTCTAGTAGTGATTTGAAAAAAGCAATGTAACTTCATTTTATTGGGTTCATATTAGAGATGGGGGCACAATACAGTTCTGGACCCGTTGCTCTACATTAGGGGTGGACTCAATCAGGACATCCGGTACAGTGTGGGAACGGATCAGGCCCATAACTGATGGTCCCAGTCCCGGTTTCCAATATTTGGGACTGAACCAGGCGGTTTCATACTGTAGTTGGAAGAAATTGGTCCGGTCAAGTTCAATGTCAGAACCTGATCAAATGTAATGTGTGTACTTGTAAAAATGGGGACAAGAAAAGATCCAACTTTTGAGCTAGAATTGGTTCAAAACCAGAATCGGTTTGGAACCCATTTTGGATATCGATTTTGGTTCAAAACCACAATTACAAGAAAACGGTCTGCCTCTTCACCCTTCCAGAACGTTGAGACCATGTCTTGTTAAGTACTCTGTATATTTTTAAGGAGTTAGTGCTAGATTGAGAAATGGCCTGTTAACTTGCAATTTCTAATTAAAATGCAGGCTGATCATCGTTTTGATGGGGAACTGCCATCATTTCCCAGGTTTTTAAAGAGCCGCCATATCTGACTACTTCGTGGTGTCATATATGTTGTTACGACTCAGATTTTTTATGCAGAACATTTCCGCCTGAAAATGTGTGGTGATGCTAACATAACCTATATGACTCTTTAAAAGCACTCGGCCTTTTCCTTCCAAATTCAAATCGAAACGACTCTTTAAAACTTAAAAGTACTCGACCTTTTTCTCCCAAATTCGAATTGAAACGCTGATGACTTGAAGCCTGAACCATAAAGGACTGAATTTTCATCGCACATTTTCTCAAATAGTACTATGAATTTGCTCCGAAGTATGACTCATTCATAGTTAATTTGAAAAGTTTATATTGTTTTATTAGTCTTTTAATAGGATAAAACATACTTGGTTTTTTTTTTACTTTGTACACGTTAATCTTAATTTGAGCAATTTCTTTTTTCTATGAACTTTATTAAAATGTACTAGAATTAGTACAACTTTGATTTTCAGAAGTTGATACCCGAGAAAACATGAAAAGAAAGTGCTCCAAAAGTTTTTTGGTTTGGATTAGGGTCCTAAGATTATTAACCCAAATTGCTAATTTCCCTGGTGCTTACAAACCACTATGCCAAGATACAGCAGCACAAAAAAGGCTAAAAATTGATATCGTCTATCTTAGATGTTTAACAATTCGATTGCAAGGCTTTTAGCATTCATAAGAGATTGGAGTAGCCTCGGCTCATCATCAGCATCTTCAACCATTATTGAGTTTATCATTCCAATAAAATTCTTCCACCCATTGACAAACTCCTCAGGCTCCAATACTCTTTCATGCTCTATGTGGCAATCTTGGAGAAACAACTTATGTCCTCTAATAAGTACAGCTGCTTCCAATCTTTCTGCCATGAAAATTCCTCTTCGAATACATGAAGTTGGCAGCTGCAAACCAAAAACATCAGTTTGGCAGAATTAAGTACTCTTAAATCTTTTTTAAAAAAAAAATCGTCTTAGATATGTGAAACTATAGAGGTGTATGTTTGGATCCCAAAAATGCTTGGGACAGGAGAGGGAAATGCTATGGTAAATTGTTTTCTGAGCTGCAAACACACCAAAAAGGTATGTTCAGGAAGTAGGAAATTATGGGGAATGAAAATAGGGAGAATAACATGGTGAAAATTTGGAAGAATTTGTGGGGAATATTTGCCCTGCATTTTCTTTCATTTGACATTCATCCTACACTCTCCATTCACTCGTTCAGGAAGCTGGATATTCTAGGGAATGAAAATAGAAAGGAAAACATAGTGAAAATTTTGTAAGAACTTGTGGGAAAATAAAAATGATACATTATAACTCAATAAATTTATTTTTGACTCGTGTTTAAACTCATTTGATTTATTTCCATCATTTTAAATGGAGCCAAAGACTCACTACTTTTTGGCTTGGGAATATGATGGAATAAAGCAAAATGGCTCACTAAAATGTCTGCGCTTCTTTGTTATGAAGTAACAATCAGTCTATGCAATTTTCGACGCGATTTTCACTATGAGTAATTCGGAAACAGTCTCTCTGTGCTTTAGTACAAGGGTAAGATTGCGTACATACGACCCCCTTACCCCACCGTAGGTGGGAGCCTTTGCGGCACTGGGGTAATGATAATGATGACGATGTTTAAACTCGTTTGATTTATGTATATCTATGACATAACAAGTAAGAAATTTATACACACAGAATTTTAGAATAATCAACCATATTCATTTTCCATTCCAATTCTCAATGTAAAAACAAACCTAAGAAAATAACTTTTGACATTTTGTTTCCTACCTCAGGCTGTCAGGCATTCTCTAGGATCCAAACATACCCAAACCAAATGTGAAGGCAAGGGAGAATTTTTCGGCATTCACATGAGAAATGGATATACGAGCGTGTGCTAATGACACATCATATGCATCTAAGAGGAAACGAACCTGTGCGAGCTGAGCAACCTTAAACCCAAAGCTTCTCTCAGAGATACCAGGAACAAGTTTATAGAGATAAGTGATATCTTCATTATCCATCATGTCACCATCAGATCTCTCATTTGATTTATTATTTGAAATTCTCTGTGATGCCAAATAAGAAACATGATATGATCCAACACTTCCGGGGAATTCATTCTTGATATCAACAATCTTGGGGTAGTGTGTGACAAAGAGGACCGGACATCTCTTATGGCCCAGAAGATGTTGCAACGTGGCATATGCAATTGCAACACCGTCATGTGTGCTTGTGCCTCTACCGAGCTCATCAATTATGACTAATGAGTGGGCCGTGCAATGCTTTAGAATGTGAGAAGTCTCACTCAGCTCTTCTAAGAATGTACTTCTTCCTTGTTGGATGCTATCAGATGCCCCCAACCGAGTGTAGATACCGTCTAGCACATGGAGTTTTGCTGATGATGCTGGTACACAGGAACCAACCTGAGAAACATGAATAATAATAATAATAATAATAATAATAATAATAATTTAAAAGAAAGAATTTGAATGAACATTTCAACCTTGTTTGTTTGGAGGGTTTAGGAGGGAAGGGGAGGGTTTTGTTTTATTAATTTAGAAATAATGACGCATAGATGACTAAATAAAGATAGTGGGAAAAAATGTGACTTTTTATACTCATGTGACTATAACAGTAACTTTAGTGACCATAACCGTTTAATTTTATAGAGCAGTGACGGTATACTCATGGTAACTTAGATCACACTTTTGTTCCCAAGTTTTATTTTAGTAGGAATAGTCTCATTAATTAATCTTTATTTGTTAGTCATAAAAAAGAAAAAAGTCCCCCTTTGTCCCAAAAAGATGAGTCTTGTTGAAATTTTCATTGTCACGAAATAGGGTCGTACATTGTTAGGGACCCGGTAGAATGAGAGTAAATAAGAAGAGTAATAACTAGAGTAGTATAAATCGAATAAACTGGGAAAAGTCAGGGAGGCTGTTTAGACTTTGAGTCTGGGACTGGGAAGTTGAGTTTTATCTCCTTCTTTGGGACTCTGTACACTGTTCATCTCAGTTAATGAATTTTGGTTACTTTTGCATCTTTTGTTCATATTCCTGTGATTTCCTTCTGTGATTTGTGAGGACCTAACATTGGTATCAGAGCACGTTCATCACTGTGCGCAAATGGATTTTAGATTGAACGAGCTGGAGAGAAAACATAAGAAAACGACGGAGACTTTGGAGGAAATTCAGGCGACAATCACCAACTTGGACAAGAGAGTCCAGAATCTATGGAAGAGCAGTTCGCACTCTTCGCATAGGTCGCACAGTAACTCGCACTATAATCATCACTCGTCGCAATCGCTCACAGATTCGCAGTCGGAGTTGCGAACTACTTCGCAATCTCAGGGCTCGCAATCGCGAACTACACGTCACTGTTCACAGTCGCGATACAGATCGCATGCGTCAAACGCATCGCATCGGGAATCTCATCTTCATCATACGCGAAGGTCAGCGAGTCCATAGGTCTCAGAAGAGCGGAGGCATCGCAGAAAATCTGGCGATCGAACTGTTTCTTCGCCAAGCTCTTTACATAGCTCTTCGCAGAGTTCTTCTCATCATTCTTATCATCGCTCTTCGCATCAGACTATCTCAACGGACATCAGTTCGCACTCTAGGAAGACACGATTGAGAGGAGAATCTTCTTCTTCACCAAATGATTCTCACAGTTTGCTATCTTCTTCTAAAGCAGTCTCTCGGAACTCAGCTAATTCAAAAACGGAGAAATTACCTCTATTTTACAAGGATGAAGCGTACAAATGGATAGAAAGGATGGAAAGATATTTCCGAGTCCAAGCTATTGCAGAAAGATTTAAAGTGGACATGGCAGCAAAGGCAATGGGGGATGCAGCAGATGGCTGGTTTCAATGGTGGGACTTTCACAAGAGAGAAGATAGTTGGGAGGCTTTAAAGGAAGATTTGATTAGGGATTTTCCACCTAGACACCGGCAGAAGACAGGGAAGACAGCAAAACCAGAGTCATCGAGGTCTTCGCATATCTATTCGCATCGCTCTTCTCATAGCTCTTCGCATTACCATTCAAAAAATTTGTTGCAAGTAGAAAATCCACAACTCGCAATCACCAGATTTTTCACTATCAGGATTGATAAGTTCACAAGTTTCTCAACCTGCGAAAGAATTGCACCAGTCAATAAATAAGAATGAGATGGAGCCAACGGAAGTTGTAACCAAGAAAATGAATAAGAAGGATGAAACCGAGGAGCAAGGACAGATTACCCAATGGCCAGAAAATTCATGCATTGATGCACGGTCTTTGAGTTTGGGGAAGAAGCAAGCTGACCAATTATGCGATAGGGAAGTGCAAAACAAAAGTTCAGATGATGAAGCTGTCCTCTCACTGATATCACCAGTTTCTGTACTTAAAGGATCAGAAGGTCTTACTAAGTTTGATATTTCAACAGATGCTCATGAAGATAAAGGTAAGGATACCATTATAACTGTAGAAGAAGGGCCCACTGCTTCTGCAGAATCAATTAATGTGCCACATTTAGCCACCCAAATACATGAGATGGAGCAAGGAGGCAATGCAAGAGAAGGGAACAAAATTGAGATCATCAAAAGCATTGTATATGGTGGTTTAGCCGAGTTAATCACAAGCCTAAGTATTGTGTCATACGCTGCTGCTGGTAATACTAGTACATTGATTTCACATAAAGGTTCACTAACTTGGATGAAGGTTATGAGCGGTATCAGGCTTGTTATGAATGATAAAGATTTGGAAACAGCTATATACAATCAGGAATTGACTGTTGGGAGGCACTCGTCTACTATGATTACAGCCATTTTGAAAACCAAGGTCGAAGAGGGACTTTCTGCTTCTTATATTTCAAAGGATCATCAAGACTATTCTCCAGTTGTTTCTTCTGCTATTGTGCATTTGAATGGGATAGGATATCTTTACCTTTGCTTGTTAATGCCTTTTATGTCTTCCTTATCAAATGAGATAAGCCAAGAACTGAAAGAGGAAGAAGTTGGAAGGTACAAAAAGGAGTTTGCTTTCAGTACAGTATCAGTTTCAGAACATAGAAATCAGGAGAAGCTCCAGAAAAATGAAGAAATAATTTTTGATAGGGAGTACGGGTAGGTGACTGAACCAAAGGAAGATTCACTTTCTGCTGCTGAAGGTTCTGTGATTTTAAAAGATTCCATACTGAAGTCCCTAGTCCATCAACCAGTTAGATATTGGGAAGGAAGAGGAACAAGAAAGAGGAAGCAGAAGATTGTGGTTGTTTCCTATCACCCACCTTGAGGGCAAGGTGGATGTTTAGGGGGGGAGATATGTTAGGGACCCGGTAGAATGAGAGTAAATAAGAAGAGTAATAACTAGAGTAGTATAAATAGAATAAGCTGGGAAAAGTCAGGGAGGCTGTTTAGACTTTGAGTCTGGGACTGGGAAGTTGGAGTTTTATCTCCTTCTTTGGGACTCTGTACACTGTTCATCTCAGTTAATGAATTTTGGTTACTTTTGCATCTTTTGTTCATATTCCTGTGATTTCCTTCTGTGATTTGTGAGGACCTAACATACATGAACAATTGAATCTAATTTTCATTATTTTTATGTAACTTCTACAAAATGGCAATATCCATTGCCCAACAGGTGTGCGTTACTAAAAGAAAAAATTACACTTTGTTCATACGAGTATTATGTCAATCCCAGGTTTGGTAAATTACAAAATGGCACATCTGTACTCCAGCCAAATTTTTGGCACCTACCAAAAATATAGATGGAAGGACCACAGGTGGGCAAGAAAAATAGCCACATTAATGATGGTGGTATTGTATTAATACTCGTAGGACCAAAAGTAGAATTTATTCTTACTAAAATAAAAATGTTGTACTTTGGTAAGCTTGACTCTTTTTCTCTGACATAATATGTTTGGTTGAATCATGCATCTTACCATGATAAACCAATAATAATACATACGTAGTACTATAAAAATAACCTATTTCATACTCCTAGCCAAATACATAACAAAAAAATATGGAGCAACTCTTGACATCAAATAATAATGCATAATATGGAAAGAACTCTATAATACGGAGAGCAACTTTAAAATATTCATATATTTACATTTCTTTCTATATAATGGACACATAAAAAATGAGTTACTAACAAATATCTATGATAAATATAAAATATGTTGAGTTTTAACTTATCTTATACAACTCCTCCACAATTTCTTCCTTTTCAGTTTTCCGTTACTTTTTCTTTCTCATTTTCTTTTCCTAGTATTTTCTGGTTCCAAACAAACCCTAAGGGCCCATTTTGAACGTATACTCAAGAAAGAAAGTAGGAAGGAATATAGAGAACATAATAGGAAGGAAATAAAACTTGGGGCAAAATAACAGAAATATTCAAGATCAAAGTTAATATACTTAATCTAAATTATTGTGCAAACTCCATTTAATTATTCACTTATTTACTTCTGCTATAGAAAAGGTGAAAACTTAAGAAATATCAGTTCTTTAAAGCGTTAATTATATTTCATTTTCCTCAGCATTTCCCAAGGTGAGGGCCGTGAGGCCCAACATAAAAAAATAACTTTCCTTGGCATTCTTTTTCCTTTACCAAGCTTTCTATGGGATCCAAATGTACCCTGAATAAAACCTAGCAGTAGGGATATAGTGTTTTTTGGGTGGATCATGGATGGATTGAAGGTTTAAAGTTGTACATAGGATATCCTCTTTAAAACCCATACGACTTGGCAACTAGATTTAAACTTTTAAATTATTACTTGGATAAAGAAACAACCCTGAAATCAGGGCATGCAGCATGCTAGTAAGTTGTAATGGCTAGTAATGAATTAACCAAAGCGCACAGAAGTAGCTATAATATGTTGTCTAACCTGAGCCATGATAGCTATAAGAGCAACCTGCCGAATATAGCAACTCTTTCCACCCATATTTGGTCCAGTTACAATTTGACAGTACTCGCCTTCAACATGCAACTTCGTATCATTCGGGACAAAATTATCTTCCAGCACAGTTTCCAAAACCTGCTTGAAATTGGCAAATATGAGTAACTTACAAGTAATGATGACACTATGATCCAAAACATTGATCAAAAACATCATATACAAAATCTTTTGCATACCGGATGACGACCAGCAGAGATATGTATCTGAACAGGTTCATCATCATTAACAAAGACTGGACGTGCATAATTCTACAGAAAATAACAAATTCATATGGATAAGCTCATGAGCTATATGCTTTTAGAACCTTTAGGGTAGCCAAAAAGGGTTTATTATGCTTTAAAATAAGCAGAATAAGTTTCTTTTGGCACACTTATATGGCTGAACTGATTTTACGAAAATGCTTTTCTTTTCAGAAAATTCAATAACCCTCTTAACAAATTAGCTATAAGATATTTAGATTAAAATTATCACAAGAATAACTAACCTTATTTCTTGAAAGGATGGCAAGTGCATTTAGACAGTCCAATGAAGCTAAAGCTTGAACAGTTGCCTGAAAATCAGCATAGTGTCCACCAAATGCTGTTAAAAATTCGTTCCATGCAGCTCGGCAAACAACAGTGAGCTCCTCCTTAGCCAATGATAACTGTTCTATGAATGTAACTACTTCCGGTGGATGATATCGTATTGTTTTCTTAGTACTATTCACCTTCATCCAATCGAGGGGCGTCTTAACATCAAGAGGTAACTGCAGTTCAATCGAGATTAAGTTAGAACTGGAGGATGAATCTCAAACAGAATATGGATGCTAATGACATGATTAATGTGATAATTAGTATGCCTCATCTTTTTTTCTAAAGCCATGCATTGAAGTAAAAGGTAAAGTACGAATTGGTAATGAACAATATTCTATTTAACATATATTACTACTACCTTTGTCCCACTATCTTTAAGACATAAGAAAGTGGCACACATATCAAGCAAAGAATTACTTCTTTAAGTATGAATGAGCTTGAACCACAGAAATATAATCAAATATGGTATTGGGCAAACTTAGTGGGATGAATGAAAAAGGAAATATGGGACAAAGATAGTGGAATGGAGGGAGTAATTCTTATAGCATTCCACTAATGTGTATCAAGAATCTACTTGTTATAGCTTTTCATATACTCCGTATCATTATACTTCATCAACTTTCCATATTTGGTGGTTGCAGGAAAATTGCCCACTTTCCCTTCAAAAATATTATTTTTCTATCATCTCCACGAAGCTCAACCACATAATCTTTAATTCCTTGTTCCGCGTGATAGTTAAAGCTGGTCACAAATAGTGGCACAGAGGAAGTATATTAGTATTTAGAAATTTGCTACTATTATTATTTACAAAATGTACATGAGTATAAAACCTAACTGGTATTGTAACCAGGGTATATACCTCCCCCACACCCACCCCCCGCAAAAAAAAAAGACAAGTAATGTTGAGTAAGTTAAAACTTTTTATTTGAACCAACTCACTCAAGGTACAAGCTTTGAGAAGTTATAAATAAATGGTCATTTGGTCCCCTGAATTTTTTATGTAACTGACTAAAACCGCTTGCTCTGGCTTTACACAAATTTTACTTGAAAGTCGAAATTGACTTTAAAACCACGCTCTTCTAGGACAAAAGTCCTTGAAAGAAGACTCGTTTATTTTTAAAAGAAGACTCATTCTTTTCTTGAAAAAGTTCATGAAAAAGACTCATTAATTCTAGGACAAAAAGTTCTAAGACAGAACTAACACTTGCCCTGTTTTTAAAATTGCAATGTTTTGGCTTCTGCACTACTCACATAAGCTATTTAACCCTACCTACCTTTTTAGTAATGTATAAAAAAAATTAAGATAACAATGTTATTAAACTAATCTAAATATATATTCTGAAAATGTCGACATTAAAAAAATAATACTCCATAATAGATAACTAAATATACTAATCATCAAAGTTGTGCATTGGTAAACGTGAAGGTCAAATTTGTGCATTGGTAAACGTGAACAGAGATTGATATTAGTATTTACCAAATTTAAATGGAGAGAAATTTGAATTAGTATATATACATCATAGATATAAAATAAATGTTGAGGAACACAATTATTATCACAGTTTAGAGCTAAATGACATTGACCCATACCTCTATTAAATGTGTTGTTCCAGATATAGTCATGTATTCCAAATTGCGCATTTTGAGCTGTTTTCGATATACAGCTATCAGTGAATCTAATTTCTCATTCGCCGAATCGACACTTTTTTGTGCTTCAGCTACCTAGTAAACAAATAAAACATTGTAGGGTCAGAAGCTTGTGAATACATGCAGGGTACACACACAATATAGGCTGAATAATTAAGATGGAACTCTTCTTTTGAACCTCTGGGAATTTCCCATTAGATATGATAAAGAGATTGTGAAGATCCCTCTGATCAGCAGCTTCCTTGTTTAGGTTTGACAAAAGTATTGCAGCAGTATTCATGACACTGGATGAGGAAGCAATTGCTATCAGCTTTTGTAACAATGAAGAGTGAATAGTGCCTCCACCCATGCTGCTGTTGTCCTCTTCTATATGAAGATTTTGAAGTTGTTTGCCAGCTACTAATATAGCTCGAATAACTACAATAAACTGTTGTCGTGGCTAATATCAAAGGATGCGCTTTATCATGTGCTTTATCTTCACATAAACTTTACATCATAATGGATACACCCTCTCTCCCCCCCCCCCCTCCCCTCCCCCCCAATAAAAGCGCATCAAGAACCTTTTTTGTCTTAGAAAAAACCACTTAAAGTCAACTTCACCAAGAATTAAGCGGTTTTAGTCATTTATTCCAAATAAAATGAGAAATGATTTTTGAAAAATTATAGGGAGACAATTTTTTACCTTTTCAAGTAACATTCTTATGTGCTCAATGACTTGTTAGAATTCCGGATCCACTCGAAAGTAAAGACAACATTTGGTATGACTTATTTTCACGGAATAAGAGCTTCTTAGAGGAAGAAATGTACTTAACATTTCTTTAGTGTATAAATAAGAAATCACTTATGGTAAATGGATTAAACACACATATACCATAAGCTATCACAAACAGGCTCTAAGCCAATAGGAGACACATAAGTATGTCACAAAATTGTCCAAAAACATGTCCCCTACACTTCTCTTACATGTCTTAGACGTATGAGTGGTCATTCATAACTTGTGAATGCTTCTAGTTTGATGGAGTCAACTAAAAAATTGTAGCTCACCCAAATAGGACATTTTGGGGGGGTGGAGTGCTGGAGGGAGCATATCCACGGCATGTAATTCCATTCAAAAACTCAAGATTGAGAGCTCTGCAAAATGGAAGTCTTTATTTAAAAATATTTTTATATAAATTTTCCAATTATCACCTCAGATGCAGATGCTGTTCGATGAAAGATTCGTGTTATACCACGTTGAATGTCAGGAACTCTTCCTAAAGTTGATAGAACTGAAGTGAGTAAATTGAGAGTATCTAGCTGTACATTAGTGACGCCAATATCATCTTCATCTAAGTCAGATTTACAAGAAGGTTTCAAAGATTTCATAGAGTCTGCAATCTCAGCAACTGCATCAAGACGAGCATTTATCATGTTTCTGTCACATAAAGGATGAGTCACCTGCAGCAGAAGTGGGATAACAAGTTGCACATATTATTTTTAACATAAAAAAAGTATAACCTTAAGACATTAGTGGCAAATACACTTTCTTACCCAATGTCTGAGCAGCCTTGAACCAAACATGGTAAGTGTGTGATTCATACACTGCAGCAATGAGCCAGCTTCTGATCCATCAGAGTTGTTCTTCAAAACCTGCAAGACACAGGAAGCATATATTTGGATCCTGGAAAATGTTATGGAAAGGAAAAGAGTTACAATGAAAGATGCTTTCTTATGTTAGGCTTTTAAGAAGTTAAAATATGTTCAGAATTATTATTATTTATATAAATAAATAAATTGAGTTTGAACAAATATCCAAAACAATTTATCAAATGTATGCCCTTTTCTCTTAGACCATTTGGAGTGGTGTGAGAGTCTAAATGTCAAAAATGGACTCCGTCCATATGAAAACAGTGTTTTGACTCCTATTTCTCTGCATTCCAACACTGTCAATAAAATACACTCGGCATATTTTTATATATATCAATTTAGTAAAACATTAATTAAATTATTATAAGTAATGTTTTCCTTTTAATTTTTTCTCTGATTAATTATAAAATAAAAAAGACACATTTTCGATGTGACAATAAATAAATTTCATTAATTTTTTTAAAGTTTTTTAGTTAACAAAAAAAGAATTTAATTCAAGTAAAATTTGATTATGGAGTATTCAATTATTTGTGAAGGCTCCTTATGGATATTGTACCCGGGTGTAGCTTATCCGAGGGGATATTTCGGGGAATAACCTAGAGAGAAGTCAGAGCAATAAGTAAGAGAGAGAGAGTGTATTCGAATAGAAAGTTGTGTGTCAATTACAATGGACAGTGGCTGCTATTTATAGTAACCATAAATGCTAGGCAGGTACACGTGTCAAGCATCTGACGGCCGAAGGTCTCCTCAATCGGGGTGACACCGTCACTCGCATGTGCACCACATTAAATGCGGTGGTTGGATGTGACGTTGTACTTGACGCAGTGATTCAGCGCATGTGGGAGAGCAAATCTTGTCGAGAAGAGCGCCTTCGGCTGAACATACCGGAGACATTATGTGTCGAAGCCTATATGTGCCGAAGGCTTGATTTTCAAGCCTTGTTCTCATGTGATGTCTATTGACTTGGTTTCATGAATGCAAAACCTTTGGGCATGGGGCCGAAGGCATGCCTTGTGTATTATGAGCTGCCTGGAGTCCTGTTAGGTGGGCTTGGCCCATTTGGACCTGTTGGGCCTGATCGTAGTAGCGGAAGTATGTGGGCCGGGGGTTCCTGGGCCATATGCTCCATTAATTAAAAATTTGTGTTTCATGTTTTTTGGGGGATCAAGAAAACTTCAAAAGTTAAAACTTCAGTTTTTTTTCATGTTATATATTAAATATTGGTGTCATATGAAAGATCATAAAAATTTATGAATTTTGATATATTTTTTGAAAAATTTGGAGAAAAAATAAAAAAGTTATACTCCGTATAAGTTTTTAAAAAATGAGATATTATGATGCAAGGATGACATTTGCATGACATCATCCGCACAAAATAAGCACCTTGCATCCATCCTTTCTCTTCTTTTTTCTTTCTTTTCCCTTTTCCCTTTTCCCTCTGCCGCACACAAGTTGGCCGCCCCCACTCCCCTTCCTTTTTTCTTTTAGCCCCCCTCCTTGACACCCTTCAAATATACCCCCTTCATCCCCTTCTCCATTTTTACTCCCCCATTTAGCCAACCACAACAAGGATTTAGGAGTCCAAAAATTCCACTTTTAACATTTTGGACTCCTAATCCTACACCACTCCAAATGGTCTTACACATGTATTTTTCTTCAAAGTTTTCTTTCCTTCAAAATTTCCACTTCATTTTCCATCATATTTTCTTTCCCTAGTATACTTTGAGATCCAAAAGGATGCTAAAATTGTGTATATAGGGGAAGGCAATGTACACCTACAATACTGCTGCATTACTGATTGTACTTAGAGCCGGTTAAACTAGCAACATATCTGTTCACCTAAAGTCTCTTTCACTAAAAAGCACACATCTTCAAATAAAAAATCAAACAAATAAGTCATCTTAATACCTTATTGATAGATGGAAGCACTCACCTCAAGCTGTTGAAGTGCATTGGCTGAAAGAGTCATCTCCATTTTACTGGTAAAAGGATGAAATGAACCTCCCAGGCAAATAATCCTCTCCAATCCAAATTGTTTAAGATGATTAATAGTCAATGCTAATGATAGGACAGCTAAATCAGGCATGTCCATAATTCCCTTAAAAAAATACAAAGCAATTAGTTTGGGGCAACATATACTGATGGAATGTTTTTAAGGTGCACACAAACTACATGTATGATTTAGACACTAAAATTTTACCTTTACTGCAAACTGATTACTGGCTTGTCTTGAAATCGGTGCATCTTCAGTTGTATGCATTGAATTGTTTATATTCATCTTCTCATAAAGAGACAATACTTCAGCACGGGCACCACCGTCCCTGAAGCAATCTATTGAGACATCTTCCACCCTAACATTTGTACTTGGTCCAGCATATGCCAGTAACAACTGTGCAAAAACAAGACAGTATTATTTAGGGAAAATCGCACTTTTAGTCCCTAAATAGTCACCATATTGAAATGTCAGACCCGTATTCCCGAGTTTGTAAATGTCACCCCTCAATTGTCCAAATTTGTGTAAATGTGGTCCTTTGAGGGTGAAATGTACACTGTGGGTGAGTAGTACATTTTACCCCTCAAAGAATCACATTTACAGCAATTTGGACAATTGAGGGGTGACAATTACAACCTCCGAAATATGGGTCTGACATTTCAATATGGCAACTATTTCAGGGACGAAATGTGCGATTTTCCCTATTATTTATTACATACAAATCAAGGGAGAATGACTTGATATAACACCAACTATCAACGGAAGACAAAAAATATTTCATAAATCAGAAATCATTTCCGATAATACCAGCTATGTTAACATAAAATGAAAGTGATATGGAGACACTTTCCAACTACAAATGCGGTCATTTAACCCATTGAAAACTTATACTCTATCAAATAATCAAATAGGTGAGCCCAATTCAAAATATGTTTTATTTGACGATTTAGTATTGTTTTTTGACGGATTAAATAACTTGATTTATAGTCAAACAGTGCTTCTGTATCAGTTTGTTATATACTGAAATAGTTGGTATGATAAAAAATGATTTATAAAGTATGCATTATTTTTTGTTTACGGGTGATAGTTGGGCATTATTAGCACTGAAAAGCTGAGATTTTTAACAGAAAACCAAAGAGCCAATTATGCATACATTGTTTAAGATTTTATCCCCAACTAACATAGAGCATCAGTCAGAAAAAAGGGAAGCTTAAGGGCTTATGTAAACATTTTTTGAGCTTAAATCCCAACTGACATAGATCATCCAAGGTCTGCAAAAATAGAAGCTTAGTGCCACAGTTGGCAATTAGTTGTTTTCATTAGTTGTTTGCACTAATGGTTGTATTAGCGGTGTTGACTAACTTTTATTTCAGTTATTTATGCAGAGATGTTTGATAAGAGTAGTCAATCAAGTGTTTAAATAGGCAAGTACTAAATTTACATATAAGGGCAACAAGGTAATAATAGTAAGTACTTGTTTACAGCCAACATCATAATCTTTAGAAGTACCAAAACCTTAAACTTTTTCAAAATGATCTATTTTAGGTACTACGCATAAATATATACATAGTATGATGTTTAACAAACACTAAAATTCGTTCTTTCAAAGAACTTAAAAGAGTATTCAATCTCTCTGACAGTATTCATCAAACATTGCCTAAACCTTCAGTTACAACGATAAGATGGCATTTCAACATTCCGAGTTAATCTCTTAAAAGAGTAAACATTATATATAAGCTTACATAGTAATAGCCTATAATTAGAACAAAATACAAAAGATGAGTAGCAGTCCCCGCTGTGCAGAATATTAAATGATACATCAGCGATAATTTGTTAATCAAAATGGAGAAAACTGATTTAATTTTTAATGACAAGATTAGCATGTTATTAACAACTACCTTCTCTGTATTTTTAGATAAAGGCTTTGCAAGTAGCAATTCAGATGGAGACAGGTTCAAAATCATAGCTTCCAAGCCTGACCTCATAAAATTATCATTGAATTCCCCATACACAACATCACCTGTGGAAACTTCGACCCCTACAAAGCCTACTTTCACATCAACCCCAACCACTTTCTCAATCCCCTTCTCGACAACACAAACCAAAAAGTTGTTACAAGTTACACACCCCTCTTCTCCACCCCCCAAATCCTCTGCTGCTTCCAAAGTTGCTTTTGTGTACAGTGCCGATAATCCCCTGCAAAAAGGACCTGATTTATTTGATCCGTGGGACTTAATAGCAGCACTCTCAGTTTGCTTAACCACACCCACTTTGTATCCCGCACTCACAAGCCTCCTCACATGGACATTAAGTCGAACAGTTGGTACACTGGCAACCAAGAAATTATGATCCATGTATGCGTAAATGCCCAATACTCTAGCAGCATTCTCCGCATCCAGACCGAAAAACTTATACTTGTACCCAACCTCAATCATCAGAAGAACGTATGGGTACTTGGCCTTAAGCTCCACCACTTGTTGCTCTAATGGAGTATGCTTAGAGTTGGAAAGTTGAGTTCTTTTAAAAACTTCTGGCAATTCTTGAGAAGGTTCCAGAAGTTTTTCCAGGAACCGCTTGTGAAGAGTAGCGCTGGACTGAGGAGGGGTCGGATTAGGGTTTTGGGTGGGTTCATGGGTTGAAGACCCAACTCTTGGATATTTGGAGGGTTTTGATTGCAGGGACGCGAGTTGCAAAGTTCTGAGACGTTTGGCTGGAGAGAAGCTCACGGTGGCCGCGATTTTGGGCGGCGGCGTGGGTGGATTCGTGCGAGCAGTTTGTGATTGAGGAGGAGAGGTTGACGCCGAAGAAGGGGTCGGGGGAGTTGACTTTGACGCGAAAAATCGGGAAATGGATTGTTGCTTCTGCTTTCCCATCGTCGGCGATAGCGTTAGCGGCTGGTGGCGGCCTGGCGGGTGGAATTTGGCGGGTAAGCAGTAGGAGGAGGTTACTGGAGAGCCGGGTTTGGCGCGTTTATAGTTTCATATTCGGTGATGACCACGTGTATTTTTTTTAGTAAAAAAGTAATACCTTCTTTCTCATTTTAACTTCCAAATGGGTTTGGCACAAATTTTAAGATAGTGTATATTGTGTGGTGGAGAGTTGTGCAGAGGAGAGAGAAATGTGTAAGAAATGTTGTGAACCACAAATTCTTTACCAAAAAAGGAAAATGGAAGTTTTAATTGAAACGGACGAAAAAGAAATGTTGTAGACCGTAATCTTTTGTACGTGACTACGCGAATTATAAGTAGTCGCTCTAAGTTGAGCATAGTACGACCACATATATATGAACTTTGTTGATGTTCTTCTTCGTCAAGATGAAATTTGCCACCACCATCTTTCGCAGCCCTCATTGCCACTCAGTCGATCGAAAATCCAAGGTGTTCCAGTCTCACAATATCGGTAGATATAGCCCCTTGAGCTTTGGCGATCCTCGTCGTAGGTACAACCGGTTTTGGAAGACAGGTCATCTAACGTCGTCGTCACTTATCGGTCATCAATCGTCATCATCGCTTGCCTGTCTTCTAACACCGCTGCTTGTCGCGGGACTCAACAATGATGAGTCGGTAACTTTTTTATAATAAATCTATTACATATGCATGTTATAGAAATGAGTTACGTTTAATGTTAAAGTGAAATAAGTATAACGTCTAAAAGGAATGAACATACACACATAAATATTATGCACGTTAGAAATGAGTTTTATCTTAAACACAAATGAGTATGACGCGTAAAGGTAATGTACATACACAAATGAGTTTTTGAATTTTTTGTACCGGTGTTAGACTCATTTTAAAATGTTAGATCAATGGATATTTTCAAACTGATGTATTAACTTAGATTCACATAGGAGTTGATCATTATAGAAACGAGAGCACAAATCATGATACCCAATTGCATGATTCTAATACTCGATAGAGAATGTTTGATGTTCAACTAACAAAGCTTACGATTTTGATATTAATGCTCATTTTGTAAGTTATGTATGTTCATTTGGTATTAATGTAAGTTATGCTCATTTTTAAAATTTCATATCGATGAACTTTGAGAAGTACTATATTTTATTAGATTCGCATATTGAAATTCATAGGAGTTGAATATAAATACGTAGTATAATTTATTAAGTTTTTATAAAAGAAATATTAAGAGAAAAAATGAATTAGAATATATGAAGCATAGATAACGGTTTTCAATAATAGACTTCTAACGCTCAATAAAATGGATTTGATGTTCACTAAAAGGGCATTAATGCTCATTTAGCTGATCCGCAAGTCTAAATTAATTAAATTACAAAAATGTCGCTGACCATGCAGTGCTGTAAAATCGGTGATAAGATACTACAATAAAGGGATTGTACGTGACTGAGTTCAAGACTTTCTCATTTTGATCCACAAGTATTACTTTGCCTTTAAACCTTACATGTATTCTACCTTAAATTTATATGTTTGAATTTGTTCTTATTTGATATTTGTCCTTACAATCACAATCAAATTTCAAACTTTAAAATCATTATATATGTGTCACAAAGTTATCAAAATGACCTCGTCGTAAGAAAATCAATATAATCATGTACTGAGTTTAAGTAAATTCGAAGACATTACATGTCATCAATTCCATCACATGTAAAATCAGTGATAAGATACTACGATAAAGGGATTGCACGCGACTGAGTTCAAGACTTTCTCATTTTGATCCACAAGTATTACTTTGCCTTTAAACCTTACATGTATTCTACCTTAAATTTATATGTTTGAATTTGTTCTTATTTGATATTTGTCCTTACCATCACAATCAAAATTCAAACTTTAAAATCATTATATATGTGTCACAAAGTTATCAAAATGACCTCGTCGTAAAAAGTTAAAAAAGTTTGAGGGGTGTTTTTCAAACTTCTTCACTGTAGGGCGCCACATCCTCAGCTTATCCACATCATCTCATCAATTTCATGTCATCGATTTTGAGAGTTTAGGTGTGCTTCTAAAATATGGAAAAAATGAAGCGAGCAGGATTCGGACATGGATGGACCACAAGGAAGACATTAATCTAAATCACTACACTACATCATTCACTTGTTAATAGTTCCTTTTAAGTAGTATAACTCATGTATCCTTCAGGCCGAGAGTGCACTATTCTTAATCGCATGTATTATTCGTTCCTTTAGAAATATATTTATTTCTTTCCCAAACAATTAAAAATATAACAATAAAAAACTTATAAAATAAAATAAAATATAAGTAAATTTCATGCTAGTTCACTTTAAATTCTATAAAAGGTTTAGTATTAATGTAAAATATTGTATAAATTTTTTTTTATGAAAATTCTCTAATAACTCAATTTTGTTCAGCCTCGGTTCGACTCCGCCTCGGAACCAAGCATTTTTCTTTAATAAATTTATCAAGTTTTTTCTTTCTCTTAGATAAATATTATATGATTTTCTTGACATGAATAGTATCTGATTTTATATTGGGGTGGCTTAGAGCTTTTCATAACATTTAGTAATAATAAATTTTAATTAAGTCTTTATTTTTTAATGATCTCAAACCTAGTATTTTGAGTAATTTTTTAATTATTTTAAAAAGAAGCTATATATTTTTAAAGCAGTGAGTAATACACAGCTAAATGTATACATTCTTGGACTTAAAGTATTTGTATTGCGAATTTCACTATAAGTTAACATGTTACAATGTAGTTCAAATTTGAGCGTTGTATTTGAATTTGAAACAATAATAATTAATGAAAAAATTGAACCGAGTCGAGAAGAGTTGAACTGCTATAATGAAATAATCACAACAAAAAGCTTAATTTGTGATATTTAATTCTATAAAAATGTAATTTAAATTTATAATAAAAAAATTGAAGTATATAATTGAAAAGTTATTTGAAATAACTTAAAAGTAAATAAAATAAAAAATAAGTAAATTTCATGCAATAAGTAACTTAGAAATACGCCTTATATTTTATTTGATTTTATTTCATTTGAAGTTATTTAAAAAAATACATATTGCAAATTGTGTTTTGTCCTTATAAGTTTAAATTAATTTTTTGTATTCTAAGTTATATATTTATTTATTTTTCGAATTAAATATTGCAAATCATGTTTTTATTATAAGTTTTAATAAGATTTTTATTTTTTTATTGAATAACTCGAATTAAGTTTTTTATTGTTAAATTTTTATTTGTTTGGTAAAGAGATATTTTTAAAGGAACGAATAATACATGCGATTAAGAAATAGTGCACTCCTGGGGTGAAGGATACATGATTTACTTCTTAAAAAGCATTTGTTAACAAGTGAATGATGTAGTGTAGTGATTCAGATACATGCCTTCCTTGTATTCCACCCAGATTTGAATCATGTTGGCTTAATTTTTTTCTATATTTTAGAAACACACCTAAACTCTCAAAATTGATGACATGGAATTGATGGGATGATGTGGATTGACCGGACTAAACTTGCAAGCGTACAAGTGTCGATATAGTAATAAATTCCGGTAAAATACTGGGTCGAACCCATAAGAAACAGTTGTTTAATTTAGTCCGTGAGTAGATAACTTTAAATGAAGAAATGAGTAAAGTGCAAGGATGATTTGTGTGTTATATTTTTTATTTTTCACTTTTTGTTCAAAAAGACAATCGTTAACTAATTTTGAGTTTAAGATGAATAATAACAACAACTAAGACTTCGGGAATCGCTTAAATGCTTTAATAGTGTTGAGTATTAGTTCTTTGTCAATAATTATGAATACGATGTCGCTAATATATTCTCAACTCCGGTTAAGGTAGCAAGAGCTTGGTTTTCGTTACGTGCAAGTCCCGTTACGGCTTACATTCATCTACCGAAAACCCCGTTGAATATCAAGACATCACACCTGTATCATATAAGACCGGATATATTTCTATTCTCGGTACTATATATGTTTATCCTTTAATTTTCATAGTTTAGACTTCAACGTTAATTGCAAGTATAAACTAAATTTAACATACTTCTATGTTGTACACCATAGTCATAAACAATCAATATACGAAGGATAAATCACAATTTATTGGTTTAGAATTTTTATCAAACACCTAGTGAGCATAGAAGTTCATCCCTAGCCTTAGATAAGAAATTAGCTACTAATGCTCATATTAAATTATTAATTACAAAAGTGTAAATAAGAACAAGGAAATAAAATAACATACAAGAAAAATTACCTAGAAGTCTAGAACCAATTGTAGAGGAGATAAATATCTTTTTCTCCAAACGAACTTGAAGAAAAATAGCAAGAACAAATATAAAAACTAAAAATTAATTTATGGAATGAGATGTTTTGTTTGATGAATTGAGGGCTTTATATAGGCAAAAGAATGACATCTTTTAGTCTATTCGAACCCAACAATCAGGTATGGGAGAAATATTTGATTAGCATTGAGGAAGATGGAGTTTTCCAATCAAAAATCCTCTTGCACGTTACTGTGTTTTAGCAGAATCCGACCCAACCGGCGCCGGTTCTGGCCTGACCGACGCCGGTTCCCTATATTTTTCGTGAACAAACGATCCAACCAGCGCCGGTTCCCTGATGACCGGCGCCGGTCATTGCGCCAAAACATGCGTTTACTCTCTCTTCTTATTTCCGTCTTCGCGATTGATTCTGAAGTGCCAATTTTCGATCCCTTTTGACTTTTGATCTCGTATTTGACGCTCCTAGCATATTCCACACTTTTGCTCAATTTGGAATATTTACCCGTTTTCGCTCTATATTTTTGTACAGATACATATAATTACCTATGTAAAACATAAGTAATTATTGTGCTTATCATTAATAAGCTTATGTGGCACCATATAGTGATAATGAGGTGACATGGCAAAAAATACCCCTATTTGGAAAATAAGTTTTTAAGTACCTTAGTTTGGTAAATAAATTTGAAAAACACCCATGGGAAAAAACACTCCATACGCAGTGATTAGTGTTGGAGTATTAGGACATTCGAACACCGAGCCGGCCCAATAGGTCGGACATGATCGGTACAAAGAATATATTTGAAATTTTTTTACACGAAACTTTCAAAAAATATAGGCACTTTTAAAATTTGGATTGAGCAGACCGCTAGGGTCCCCTATACGCCCCTGCAGCCCAATATTACTTAACCCAAACATACTGCCATCCAATCCACCCTTGACGCCCGACTTGGATGAAGGGAAAACACTTGTTCTGTAAACACGGTTGGGAAACGGATTAGCACATACTAGGATGATTAGATTACAAACGGATTGATGAATTATTGTTTAAGTTGCGGAATTTAAGTAAATAAATAGTGTAAAAATACTTCTTTAAAGCTATATGTGAGTGTACTATAAATCTATAAGACTAGAACAAGGTATAAAATAATTAGTACTATAAATAGCCGTTAATGTTCAATAAAAAATGTTAACTCATTGTGTTCTTACTCCATTGTCTTCAATTTTGTGTAGAAATCTATTTCCGAAGATTACTTAACAAAAAGTTAACTCTTTCCTTTCTGTTTTCTTTAACAAGTGATAATAATAAAACTTATACTGATAAAAATGACTAAACTAGAATCGTAAAACCATATTAAAAATGACTATAAATTGGAGTGATACTCAAACAAAAGAATAAAATCTATTGTGTTGATAGAGAAATTAAGATCACGTTAGAAATTAAGATTACTAAAACCATACTACTTCCGTCCCACAAAATTCTTCTCACTTTGACTTGGCACGGATATTAAGAAAGTGAAAATGTGTTGTTGTGTAAGAAAAACCTGAAATGAATATGAAACACACAAATTATCCAAAAATGGTAAGTGAGAAGAATTTTTTGGGACGACCTAAAAAGGAAAGTAAGAAGATTTTTATGAGCGGGAGGAGAGAGTAGGTAAATTACCCGTCCGTCTATGACGTTGTGACACGTGTCCTTTTCTGTAAGTGCATGGTGTCTGTTCTATGAAGATTGAATTGGGAAATGAGAGTCCATATTTTTCATTTAAACCATTACGTGTACACATTTATTTAGTACTCGGTACCATATATTTTTGTGGTTTAGAAAGTATTTTGTAGCCTTTGTGTGTGTGATTTGATTGCTATGTTAGCTGTAAAGGACTTTAATAATGTCGTACGATAAAAAAATCCCAGGATAACTCAACTCAAAATATTATTTATTATACGAAGTGTGTGGGACTTACTTACCATGTTTTTAAAATTTGTTGGGTTTGATCTACTCTGGTCTGAATTAAATTGTTTTAGTAAATATCTAGTACTTATGTATTTATAACTATGAAAGTTTGATCTGGTGTGATCCGATCTGGTTTGTTTAAGTCTTGTCTTGGACCGCAAACAGTGTGAGATCTTTTTTATTAGAGCATTCACATCTATGAGATTATTCGGGAATCATCTTGATGATGTGGGGGATCTTTTTGAAGTTTATAGTTGAGAAGATCAGATTATTCTGAAAGATTATTTAGATAAAAAATCTGGTATCAAATATTGAATCCTAGATTATTCAAGATTATTCTCAAGTTTCAATAAACACATTTAATACAACCATATCTTTTAATTTGGAATGACTAAAATAACTCACTAGAAATAACAAAAAAACTCCATGAAAAACTTAATGGATAGAGATCATGGTTGAGGGGATTAACAAACTTTGATTTTACTTATGTGAGACATGGCAAGAGAAAGACATGAAAAACGGAATATGTCAATCATGTTGGGAAAATTTATTAGTGATGTTATCAACTGAATAAAATCAACTTTTGTAATTTTCATAGCATTTTGCATGTAATGAGGTTCAAGGCAAAGATGTGGACAGCAAATACGTCATTTTGCACGTGATTTTGCATTTTTGTTTTGTTTAAGTTTTACTACATACAGAGTATTTAATACGTAGTGTGTATGTAGTGTTTGGACTTTACTTTGTCAAATAATATACTTTAGGGATTACATAAAAAATGATTAATATTAACAACTGGTTGTATTTGCAATGAGAAATCATTCTTAAAAAAGTTAAAAAAACAGCTAGAGTGTTCGGTGAAGCAGTATAATGTTCTTTCAGGTAATAGAAAATTGGATTAAAAAAATATAATCAAGCACTCTTATCTACTTTAGCAGTTTACCCTTTAGCTTCGACATGCTTGAATTTAAGTAAAAGCCCATGTTTAAAAACAATACTCATAGTTTTCAAAGCAGAAAATTTAAGTATTTTTTCTGAAATATTACTAATGAAAAAATTTATGGAAAAAATGTGACTTAATAAATATCAGTGAATATGATCGTATTAAAACTTTGAAGGCAACCGTTCAAGAACCCGTTATATGGCCTCTTAATTAGTGATTGGTATGAAATATTATGGAATAATGGCTTACCCAATAGGGTGTCGTGATGGTATATTTATACTAAACAGATAAAAGAAAAGAATTACAAATATGTCCCAAGATTTATATCTATTACACCTTCTCAATTTGTGCAGGGGAAACAACACGCAGATTGGATCTTAAAAACTCAAAACGTTGACTAGATAAATTTTTAGTAAAAAAATCGGCTAGTTGTATATGAGTGGGAACATATTTGACAACAAGATCTCCATGAGCAACGCGTTCGCGAACAAAATGATAATCAATCTTGATGTGCTTGCTGCGATCATGCTGAATAGGATTCACAGCCAAATATGTAGCAGAGACATTATCACAATGAAGCTGAACATGAGACGAAATGTCAAGATCCATCTCGGCCATCGAGGAGCGAATAAATAAAGCGTCCTGGACTATATATGCTATAACTCTATACTCTGCTTCAGCAGAGGATTTTGAGACGTACAGTGGGTTGCTTCTTGGACCGCTATGAAATTAAATTGGGACCCAGAAAAATAGCATAACCAGTGGTCGAGAGACTGCTATCGGGCAACCGGCCCAATCTGCATCTGAATAAGCAATAATGAGAGAAATATCACAATTGGACTGCAGCCACAACCCATAGTCCACAGTGCCCTGCAAATATCTGTAAATACGCTTCACATCCAAAAGATGAGCAGTGCGAGGCGCATGCATAAATTGAGAAACCAAGTGGACAGCATAAGTAATATCAGGTCTAGTCAAAATCAAGTGCCGTAAAGCACCTACCATACCGCGATACTCGGATGCATCAGTGACAAGTTCTCCATCTGTGAGAGAAAGAGTAGTACGCGAGGGTAAAGGAGTACGGACTGGTTTGACGGTATGAAGATGAAAACGGCGCAATAAATCACAAACGTATTTGTGCTGGGAGATAAATAAGCCATGAGGTGTACGTTTAGTTTGAAGACCCATAAAAAATGGATGTCTCCCATGTCCTTCATGACGAACGGAGTAGATAAAGTCTGAATAATAGGTTGAACGAGAGAGACAGAAGACCCGGTGATTAAAATATCATCCACATAAAGAAGAATATAGACAACTTGTGATGGAGTACGAAAAACAAACATAGAGGAGACAGACTTGCTTTGTGAAAACCCCCGGGATAAAAGGAAACCACTAAACCGATGGAACCAAGCTCTAGGAGCTTGTTTAAACCCATAAAGAGTCTTGTTAAGACAACAGACAAGATTGGGAAAAGAGGGATGAATAAAACCTGGGGGTTAACGCATGAATACCTCCTCTGTAAGATGACCATGAAGAAAAGCATTATTGACATCTAACTGACGGATACACCAACCACGAGCAACAACGACAAATAAGACCAGACAAACGGTTGTAGGTTTAACAACAGGACTAAATGTTTCTGTAAAATCTACGTCAGCCTGTTGTTTAAAACCTTGAGCAACCAAATGTGTATTGTGACGCTCAACGGACCCATCAGAATTAAATTTAGTCTTGTAAACCCACTTACAACCAACCACATTTTTAGTGTTGTCCCAAGGTACCAAATCTCATGTCTTATTAGCAATCAAAGCATTAAATTCATCAGCCATGGCCACCCGCCAAACAGTAAATTTTTGAGCTTGCGAAAAATAGGTGGGGTCATCCGAGGGCATAAATACACTTAATTTTTTGTAGGTTTATAGATGCCATATTTAGCCCGGGTGCGCATGGGGTGAATGTTATGGACGGATGAGGTGGATGATGGACTAGGTGAAGTGGACTGAGAGGAGGGATCCTAAGTGGGGCTGGAACTGGTTGAGTGGGAGGAACAATATCCGTAGGAGATGGGGTGGGACTGAAACGTATGCGGCAGGAGTAAGAGGGCTGAAGATGAGGTCTCGGCTGGGGCTGCCTGGTGAGGCAGTAGACAGGTCTGGGGGAAATGAAGAGGAGGGGGGAGGCAGAGTGGAGGTAAAGAAAGCAGTTGTTGTGCAGGAGCAGGTAACTGGGATGGGTTTTTAGATGGTGAAGGCCAACAGAGAGGGAGATCGGTAATGGTGGGAGTAGAGGTAGAGATGGTCTTTATTGGAAGCCTGAAGAAGATGTGCCCCGGTCTGATTGTCCTTTAAAGGAAAAGAATTTTTATTAAAAATCACCGTACAATCATTATCCGCACACAAACTTATGAATAGACAATAAATTATATTTGAGGTGTGGAACATGATAAACAGAGTTTAAAGTGAGTGGGCGACCAGAAGTGACAAGTTTAATGCTACCAATGTGGGAAATAGGCAATTTAGTACCATTAGCAACTTGCACCGAATTAGAGCCAGTATAAGGAGATTTACAAGACAAAATACCTTCATGAGGAGTCATATGAGTAGATGTCCCTTAATCAGGGTACCACACAGCAACATTGGTCTCACCCGAAGGAAGAGTGGCATGGGCCGACGGAGATGAACCAACATAATGAGGACAAGTGAGTGCTGAATGACCTGGAGAGAAACAGATTTGGCAGATAACTGGAGGTGGAGGAAAGTGACTATTATCCACATATGGAAAACCTGCACTGACATTGTTAGTACCACAAGCAGGAAAGTAGTTTAAGTACGAATAACCAGACAAAGTATTACTCAATACCGCAATTGAATTTCTAGGAGCCGGTGCCCGAGGCTGACCATAATGAAGTTGTCCAGGAGCCTGGCCGAACCGAGGTAGTGGAAGTAAAGGGGGATGCTGATTTCCAGGCCCTGCATGATGATATTGAAATGGAGCACCATAACCACGACCTCTACCTCGCTGTCCATGACCACGTCCACCGCGATAACCACGCCCTCCTTGCGCCCGCCCCCTGTCCACGTGCAATTGGAGCTACACCCCCTCGGTTAGCAGCCGCTGGTGCTGCTGGAATTGCTGGAGCTGCGAAGGCCTGATGAGTTGGGGCAGATTCTTGTGAACGGAGAAACTTAATTCGTTGTTCTTAGGTTTGAAGAATAGGCCGCAATGTCTCAAGAGTGACTTCGCCCGGAATATATGAAAGAGTCGTAATCAAAGACTCATAATCGAGTCCCAAACCGAGGATGGTGTACTCAATTAAATCACGATTGCTCACCGGTGAATTTATAGAATTCAGATTATCAACCAGTATTTGAATTTCCAAAAGATATTGATCTATGGACTGAGACTCATTCTTTTTAATATGGGACAGCTGGCGTTTAAGCTCCATAGACCGAGCAAGAGAGGCAAACATAAACCGAGTTTCGAGACATTGCCAAATGCATGCAGAAAATTTTAAATCATATACCTCCATTAAAATGTCTCGAGATAAAGTAGTAAAAATCCACGAACGGACAGCTTGATCGATTTTAAGCCAGTAATGATACTCTGGATTTAGAACCTCCCTCCGATGTACATCAGGAATAAGCTGTGGCGGTGCTGAAACAGACCCATCGATAACTCCAAGAAGACTGTGGGAAACAAGAAAAGATTCAAATTGGGTACGCCACGGGAGGTAATCCTCAACAGCCTTCAAACGAGTAGTGACAATATTTGTCACGTTCGGCGTGGAGAAGGTCAATTGAGAGGCCAGAGATCCCAAAAATGAAGAAGAAGTAGAACCTGGCGATGTCCCGAACTGGTGTGGCAGGAGAGGAGATGTGCCAGGCTGACCGGAGAAGGTGGAGCCCGTAAAGAGAGCCGGAGGTGACACCTGACTGCTGGACGCCATAGTAGTACTCGGGGAAGAAGAAGTCATGATCAACGAAGGAGAAGGACCAATCGGAGCATGGAGTGGCGGCAGAGAAGGCATAGCAGGCATGACAAGAGGCGATGCATGTCCATGAGAAAGACTGAGGCATGCCAAACATTTTGTAGGAGTCCGGTGCTGGTAAAACAGGGTCAGACAGGGGACCATGGCGGCGAACAAACGGAGAAGATATATCCATGGGGGGCATCGGCTGCACCTGAGAGGAGTAGGGCATCGTACTATCATGAAGAACTGCTGAAGAAGAAGCCTGAACAGTAATGGAAGGCTCCATAGCGGCGGTAGGGATGGTGGAGGCAAAAGAGTCGTGCGCCATATTTAGCGGAAGAAAAAAAGGAAAACCTAATCGTCTGATACCATATGAAATATTATGGAATAATGGCTTACCCAATAGGGTGCTGTGATGGTATATTTATACTAAACAGATAAAAGAAGAGAATTATAAATATGTCCCAAGACTTATGTCTATTAATTGGAGCATTTATTTAGAGAAAATAATAAATTATTGAATAATTAAAGATAATTTAAGTTCAAATGCTGAAATAATCAACATTAGTGCTCTATAAATTATTAATTTTTTTTAAAGCGGCTTTTCGTGAGTTTTTTTTTTTTTGAAAACAACTCATCACAACTTCGTTCGTTGTTAAATGTATCGCACACATCTTTTTTTGTTATAACAAATAAGACAAACAAGATGTTTTGTTCTCTTTTAACCTACATTCCAACCAACTCTCACATTGATGAAATAAAATTTTTAAGTAACGAACAAATTCAAATGAATTTCTTATAAATTAAACGTTTTAGCAAAATGTACACTATTTGATATATTAGAGCCTAACACTATTTTTCTTATTTCTAGCACCTCCACTTTTTAAGATGAAGGCAGTAGTGTTTTCCTTTTAAATAATATCTCATTACCATTGTTTAATCTAGCACCTCCATTTTTTTAATCTATCCAAATATATTTAATTTAAATTGTACGTATGAATATTAAAGTGAAAAGCATTTTCCTACAACTAAAATTAAATTAGTTATTGACTAAAAAGAAATAAGTGCACTGGGTCTATGTAACACAACAAAACTAATTAACAATTTAGCACCCTTATTAAAACTGAAATTAATAATTTTGAAAATTTAAATTCTAATCTAACAACGAAATAGAAATGAACTAACTTGTAAATATGTTATTAATTTCACGACTAGAAAGCGAAATGGCAAAAAGAAAGCCTAGTAGAAACTTGTTTTGAAATAAGAGACTACACGTCAGAAAACTAGATCTGAGAGATAAATAAGTTAATCGACAATTTATAGACTTGCACTCTTACGAGCGAATGACCTTCAAGCCTTTCACAGATAAATCTTTCCAATACTCAATCGACAATAGGTAATTGTATTGCTCCCTAAGTTAGTTTGCTCAATGACTTAATTCATAATTAAAATTTTAAAATAATAGGCTAAAACTATTATTGAAATAATAGGCAAAAACTATGGGGAGTGGGGAGTTAGGGACTAGAAGATATGAAAAAGCGCCGTTTAATAATGAGATGTAATAATGTTCCAAAAAATGATTGAATTCCCAATTCCAATGGTCCTTCACGTCCTTCATTTGAGATAATATAAATCACAATGACTTAGGCTATGTTTGACACAACAAACTGAAGATGGATAATGTCTAAATTAGAGGTTATTGTTTGAATCAGAGATTATTGTCTGGAACTGAAGTGTGAAGTGATGAATCTGAATTGCTAATTGAATGAGGTAAATATGTTTGCCAAGAAGAACTGAAAAATGCTTGAATAATATGAAATTACATTAAAGGTCATACTTCGTAAAATTTGTGGTGATATATACGCAAGATATATATTATTTACATTATTTTATGTTTACTATCATACCCCGTAATTTTTTTTAATGGTGATAATGATATTAATGATTGTAATAATAACAGTAATCAAACGATGCAATCAATTATCCTCCAATCTATCTTCTAAATTTTCGCTTCTTTTTCACCATTTGGCACACTTGTATGCACAATATTATCACCACTTGCTCTCCATAACGATAGACTTTTCAAAAAAATTAAAAATTATTAAAAAATTATTGTTATTTTGTGTGTGTAAATACGTAATGTATGCGGAGTATATATGTAGTGTATATCTCTAGTCCTGAAGCTCAAGGAAGAGTTCAGATACCAACTCACAAGAATGGGCCACAAATTAAAGAAAAAATTCCACTTTTGATCCCATGACTATTATACCACTTCCACATTTAGTCCCTTACTTTCAGATTGTCCACATTTAGTTCGTGACCATTATCCCCTCACCACCCCTCGTCCTTCCGACTGAAATTCCGGCAAATTTAGCCCACTTATCAGCCTCAGAATCAGTCTTTGCATTAAATTTTATATAAGGTTGGGTTTTTCATATCAGTCTTTACATTAAATTTGGTTTTTCATACCAAAAATCTGCATCAAATTTGCCAGAATTTTGGCCGGAAGGACGAGGGATGGTGACGGGATAATAGTCACGGACTAAATGTGGAATATCTGAAAGTAAGGGACTAAATGTGAAAGTGGTATAATAGTAATGAGACCAAAACTATAATTTTTTCCAAATTAAAGGAGGCAAAATAAGCATAAGTGAGAAAACTTGTTGTGAAGAGGAGAAGAAATTGAAGGAAATGTCCATCGGCAGGGATATAATGGGAATGAAGGCGCTATATAAGAACGGCTGAACATAAACGCTTTGGGTTGAAACGTTTCAATATTTTTCCAGCTTAAGTCCTAACCAGCCCTTCATCCAAACACTATCACTTTTATAATATTTGACTGGATTTAAGATACTTCAGCTCATTATTAGCTGAAATAGTGTTCCAAACATAGCCTTAATTAGTTCAATGATGGTAGGCTTTAAACTCATGTCAATCAGAGGTCCAACCTAGTACACATGAGTTGTAACTTTCAAACGATGGTCGCTGATTGTTATCCTTGATCAAACTTTCTCACTGCTTAATCAATTGACAGGGGCGGTCTGACCTCTTTTATTTTCATTGGGCAGCTCCCTATTTGTATGAAATTAAATAACAAAAGTTAAAACTACCCAATGGTTGGGGCCTGCCTTTCATTTTCAAATGCATCCGCCTCACAATATAAATTTTTTCATTTTGTTTATTCTATTGTATTTTTAATTATGTTGTTATAAATTTTTGTAAAAAGAATGGTACGAGATGCTTTTGGGTTGCATATGTTGTGGACATAATTGACTACGTACGGGCACAGTAACGGAGGATTGTCGTGGTTAGGGTTGGTTCGGTACGGTATACCGAAATTTCAACGCCATACCGCATATCGTATCGAAAATCCGGTATTGATAAATGTCATACCGTTACCATACCGAAACTTTCGGTATACCGAATTTCGGTATACCGAAAATTCGGTACGGTATGTAACCATACCGTTTTATACCAAAAATTCAAAAAAAAAATCTTGGCAATTTCGTATAAAGTATTAGCTTAAGGGGTCTATCGAACATCCAAAAAAACTGATTTTAACAAGTCAAAAGTAGCATACGACATCAATACATAAACCGATACCAAAACTAAAACACAATATTTAATCCAAAGTAGAAAATACTAAAATTATGTGCTAATATCTCAAGTCTCAACACAATCCATAATGAAAATTGGAATATTTATCCAACATAAATCAATGATAACTAATGTTTGTAATAACAAATCTTTGAATCATTGTTGCAGCTCCGTATAAATAAGAGATTTTTCTACTTTGGTAATATGATGGTCGTCCGCCGTATAAATATTTTATCAATATACTTTATCATTTGTTTATAAATATAGAATGAGCATAGACCTGATTGTTCATATTACCAGGATGGTTAAGCTTTAGCAAATAATGGCGTCTTCGTCACTCGTCCGCATCTCCGTCGTCAATGCTCAATAGTCCACAGCTCTGTCACTCTTTGAAGAGAAGAGAAGTTGCTTGACTCTGCGTTGATTTATTTGGGGAGAATTTGACTTTGCACCCCATGTTTTGGGTGATATTTGAGTTTACACCCTATTTTCAAAATCATTAATGTATGCACCCCAATTCACTATAAAATTATTTGACTTTGCACCCCACTCCTTCACAATTTTTGGGCTAATGGGGTGCATACATTAATGATTTTAAAAATGGGGTGCAAAGTCAAATATCACCCAAAACATGGGGTGCAAACTCAAATTCTCTCATTTATTTGATTAGGGATTTAGGCCTCTACTTGGGAGAACTAGAGAAGGGCTGTAGTATTATAAGATGGGTTATTTTAATTTTGGGCCTTGATATTTTAATAATTTCATTTAATGGGTTTGGCCCTAAAAATTTACAAATTCTATTTCGGTATATCGGTATTTCGGTATATACCGTACCATACCGAAAATTAACGGTATTTCGGTGTATACCGAAATACCGAAAATTTAAAAATTCCATACCTTTACCGTACCGAAGTGACCCGGTATGGTATCATACCGTACCGAACTTTTCGGTATACCAAAAATTTCGGTAAATTCAGTATTTTTCGGTATGGTATGGCTGGTATACCGAAATTTCGGTATATTTTCCCACCCCTAGTCGTGGTTACACACCTCAGCCTCTTAGGATTTATATACTCCTTCCGGTCTTAAATAAACTTCACACTTTGAATTTACACAAATTAAAGAAATAAATTTGACTTTACTGTAGAGTACACTGTTGTGACACTGTTTAACACTATTTTGCACTCTTGTGATATAGATAATTTGCCAAATAAGGAAGGGAGAAGAAATGTGAAGTTTATTTTGAACTTACCCAAAAAGGAAAGTGTGAATTTTATTTAGGACCGGAGGGAGTATTTTTTAAATATCCGCTTATGTTAATATGATTAAGATTCGAATCGTTACAATAAACTCAAATAGATCAACACTCACGACAACTTTCCATAACCAACTATCCTTACAAGCCCTACGACTTGATATAAAAATGATCAACTCTGAAAAGCAATACGAATCACTAACCATCAAGCGCGTGTGACACAACAATCACTGACCATATAGATTATTCTAACGACATAATAACTAGAAGAGTTGTCAATCATTATTGTAGACAAAAACCCAAAGATGTCAACAAAAAACATAGTAGCGTAAACAAAAATAATAGAAAATAAGACCATAAGACATAAAATAATTGATAAAAGCTTCAAACTCCTTCATGCCAGTTTTGTTAAAACTTCATCTTCCAAACCCTAACTCCTTGATCGTTCAGGAGGGAGGCAGATTTGTCTCCCTCCATTGTTCAACCCTTCACCTCTTCCCGTCTGTTCGTCGCTCGTGCTGCCTCCTAATATGATCGTCGTGTACCTGTCAATCGTACCCAACTTCTCCCTACTACATCACCCTCCATCCCTCTACCGCTTGAGCGCTGAAACACGCGGTCAACATTATGCTCATTTTTCTGAGAAGCAAAGCCCAAATCAACGTCGATCACTTTGTGAGTGTCATACCAAAGTTACGATAATGATCGACGGGTTGCTGGAGCACGCCTGAATAACCTTTAAGTGCTCAAAACACTCTGGTCACTGTTTGTTTATTCGTGTTGTTCCTGCTTTTTATTTTTTATTTTTTGGGTGGTGTTTTGGTTTTGGATCTGACTATTGATATGTTTGTTAAGACTTACAATAAAGCCACCATAGATGAGGAAGAAAACACGGGTTTAGTATTGGCAGCAAACTCGGTAGGGGATGAGGGCGAGATTGATGGAGATGAACCAAAAAAATGAATCTGCGGAGGTGCTAATGAACCAGTACCGCCTGAAATTCCATTAGCTAAAATGAGTGGGAAGCTTCCTTTGGAGGTGGTTGGACAAACCTCTTCTCCCTTCCCGGTGGCTAGTCAAATCGGTATGGCATCTTTGGAGGTGGCAGATCAAAAATGTTCTCCCTTACTAGTGGCTGGTAAAACCAGGAGTTATGATTATATTTGTTCTTTTCAGTTTAATAACTCTAGTTTTTTATCTTTATCTATCTATTTTAGTAGGAAGTGCAGCGATGTTGCTAGATTGCCCTACCATGTTGCGGGGTTAGCGAACTTCTCAGGTCCTCAGGGGTTGGTCAGTTCTATATCTCATTCCAGGATAGCTTTGAGCTATTGGTTTGTTGTGTCCTTTGTCACGTTCATTATTATGTATAAGTGTTCTTCTTTAAAAAAAGTCACTTTTACATATTGAGGAAAATGTGACTAACAAGATCTAAAAAGATGAATTACCTTTTTTTATTAGAAATTTAGAATCCAGTTTTTTTTTTTGTTGAAAGGAGAAAACACTTGTGTTAATTAAAATCGCATATTCGATTCAATTCTTGGACTGTAATTTGCTGGTCTGTTCTGTTTAAGTATGATTGGATTTGGTCTGGTCTGAACTGGTCTGCTCTGGTAAACGTCTAGTCTCTGTGTATTTTATAAATGCAGAAGTCAAGTATGATCTGAGATTGAAAAGAGTCTAATTTAAAAAAGAGATATTACCCGAAATATGACTAAAACGGTTTGAAAATTCCAAAATATCACTGACATGTTTTTATTCCCAAAATATGACTAATTACTACCATGTTTTGACAGTACCAGACTTCAAACATGTCACTATTTTCTAAACATGACAGTAATTAGTCTTATTTTGGGAATAAAAAATATGACAGTCCTATTTTATAATTTTGAAACTGTTGTAGTCATAATTCGGGAACTTTCCCTTTAAAAAATCCTAAGTCACAGCCGTATCCTTTTTCCTTAATGACCGGAACTGTGGATAAAAATGTCTGTATTGTTTTTGTTATGTTTGGAAAGTTGAAATATCAAATACTACGTACCTGATTATTCTGTAGGACTTAATATTATTCTTGTTTGATCACTTTTATCATGTAAAGTTATTTCTGTACGTGTAATAGATTTTTTAAAAACTCGAAATTCGTGTTAGTTGACTTCATCTAGTGATTGGCGTAGTACTCCGTCTTTAAAAATATTGAGTATCATGTGGATTCATACAAACCATCCATATTAAGTAAGAACCTCCTCCAAGAAATATTCCATTCACCAAATCTTTGGCCCTTATTTTTCCACCGCCACTTACATATAAACAGTCCAACCAAAAGCATAAAACCTTTACACCATGATTATCTCATCCATATGGGCTATGAACAACTTTACGCCACGCTCCCACGCTGAAACCTCGGACGCCGCCGCAAAAAGAACCCGCTCCGACTGGCGCTTCCGCGTCTCCACCGTCGTCTCCTCCAGCTCCGTCACCGGAGCCGTTTCCGACGCTCTGGGCGTCCTAGAGTTCGACCCATCGGATGAGTTCTTGGCTACCGGTGGGATCGCCCGGAAAATCAGAGTCTACAGCGTCAACACATTGCTTCCCGGAAAAGTCGACGGAAGAGAGGATCCGGCGGACGGGTCCGTTTTGCTCGACCATGGAAGCTCCTGCGACTACTACATCTGCACGCCGGCGAAGCTGAGCAGCCTCAAGTGGAAACCCGGGTGGAGCAGCCGGGTCATCGGGTCGGGCGACTACGACGGCGTCGTGACGGAGTACGACCTTGAGAGGCGGGTGCCCGTGTTCGAGCGCGACGAGCACGGCGGGAGACGAGTGTGGAGCCTGGACTACTCGTATTCCGACCCGGTTGTTGGTGCATCCGGGTCGGACGACGGGACGATGCAGACGTGGGACCCGCGCTGCCACAGCGGGAAATGCATCTCCGCCGTGCAGCCCAGCAAAACCGGGAGCCCCGTCTGTTGCGTCCAGTTCAGCCAGTTCACCCCCTCCATCGCCGCCGGCTGCGCTGACCGGAAAACTTACGCCTACGACGTTCGAAAAATGGGAGACCCGCTTTTCGTCCTGGACGGGCATCAAAAGGCGGTTACCTACGTCCGATTCCTCGACGATCGGACGGTCATTACGTCGAGCGTCGACGGGTGCATCAAAATGTGGGACACAGAGAATCGGACCCTCGTCAGAACATACCAAGGGCACGTGAACAGCACGAGATTTGTCGGGTTATCGGTGCGACGGAACGGCGGGTTGATCAGCTGCGGGTCGGAGGATAACCAAGTGTTTGTGTATGATATGAGGTGGGGCGAGCCGATATGGGTATACGGGTTCAAACCCATGGGTCCACCCGGAGCGGAAAACGGGTTTGTTAGCAGCGTCTGCTGGATGCAGAGAGGAGGGGATGAATGCACGCTTGTTGCCGGAGGTTCGGACGGAGTATTGAGAGTTTTCGCCGGCCGGAAAAGGTTTTATAATTAATTAATTTTTAATTAATTAATTTATTAATGATATACTCCGTATACATGAGAGTAACAGCTATATTTAATTTAATTTGTACACAAGGACTACAAAGGATTTATACATGGTTAAATTACACCATTTATTTACACGTACTGTGTGTAGTTTTTATGTGCAAGTACAGAGTAGTTTTATTTTTTCATTACTAAAAGTAAGCCGACTTAAATTAATTTTGTGTTTTGTAATTATGTTTGTTATTATTCTTTCAATAAAAATTATGTTTGTGATTACTCACAAAACATATTATACATTTCATATAAACTTATGTGATGATCAGAAGTAGGTAAGAACTGCCTGGACACTTCAAAATTCAAGATGGCTCAACTGTTAAGATTTGAGGCAAGAGCTACATTTGACACTTTACTACGGAGTACTTTAAAAGAATCAACCATGCTTGATGTATATACTCTTGTACACATCTTATACACACTATGTTTGTGAAACTTTTTTTTTGTCTGTGAATCCGGTTCACAGACAATATATTGTTTGTGCAAAACATTGTCTATGAATCGATGTTCACAGAAAAAAAAAGCTTTCACAGACATATGTGTGTACAAAAGTGTGTATAAGAGTGTGTACAAACATCATTTTTGTAAAATAATTTACCGTAACTCAATTGGTAGATTCAGGGTGACACAAGAGTTAAGTTTCGGGTTCGAATCCCGATAACTGCGATGAGATGTTATTATGCTAAAATGCATAGGAGCTCTACAAGTATCAGTGCTCAGTCCCACTTTCTATCTGTCGGTTTATGATTAAAGTCCAATTTACATCTTCCTATCTAACTATCCGGTCGATGTTGGGAGGCCTCAATGCCATCCTTTTTCAAAAGAATTTACTCGTATCAGTTTTGTGTAATCTAATTAAAGGTTTAATTTTAAGTGAGCAAATCAAATTGCATCAAGATTGTATAATGATTCGTCCACCGCGAGGCATCGATCATTAGTGATCACACACAAAATTATAGAGGAGCTTACACCCCTCTTTAGATGTTCCAAACCTTGAAACCCCAACTCGAAAGGCCCTTGCGCTGAGGGACGTAGCTAGGGGAGGGCCAATTCTGATCTTGGTTTAATCCAAATTTAAAAAATGTCTATATATTTAGTGCAAAAAATTCATGTAATTTTTTTTTCTCAAAAATATTCTTTGTACCGGCCCAATGCTCTGACTCCTCCCCTGTTCACGCTCCGACCCGACAAGGTATTTCAGATGATGTAAGTCGTGACAACTCAGTCAGCTTAATGGTGGTAGATCTTGTATCCGTACGCATCAGAGGTAGTTCAGTCCAACCGATCACACAAGAGGAGCTGTAACATTCACATGCTCATTGCTTGTTTTTATCATTGATCAATGTTCCAGCTTTTTCACCACTCAACCAAGTGAGCTATCCGTGCAGGTTACACGCTCTTTGGATATATGGAGTAATTGGATAGGTGAGAAGAAGCGGGTGGGGGCGGGGGGCCTGAGTAAGCTGTGACCCACCTCAAATTTAAAAACATTTGCTGCTAGGGATGAATGAAATCCCATTCACAAGAGAATGCATGGCGATAGAACGGCCATCTCATCTTTCATATATACATCCATATATGCATTACGTCTCTTCATGCATTAGGGTCACTCTACCTTCTCTTGTCACTCAGCTTGGTGACCGGGACGGAGGCAAGCGCCCCCACTTCTTATTATCTCTATCTAGTACCACGTACATATATATTACCTCCATAACAGATATATCTTCCCATTTGAAAAGTAGGTGAGATTAAGAATAGTGAAAAAAGATATAAATTATTGAGGGTATAATGGGAAGATAATGAAATAGTGTGTTAGAATTATTGAGGGTATGATAGGAAGATTTATAAACGAAAAGATATGAATATTACAGCTAAAAAAGGAAAGTCTGAAGATATGAACGTTACGGAGAGAGAGTATAATATACTAACATCCGTGCTGCCAAGCAACCTCCACAAATATTGTTCTTCCTTAGTTGAGTGCCAACTTTAATGTGTGTGTTGTGAAAGACAGTGAATTGAAAATACATTATTAGATTGATGAATGGTCGAAAACTTCATTTCTATCAAGTCATGGTTCAAATAGCGTTAAAATATAAGGAGGGGGCCTGAACCATGGACCAAACTGCTTCTTCGTGTATCCAAAATTTCAAAATCATAACTAATCTATTACGCTAAGCATTTAACCATGCATCCCCTTTTTGTTATGTAATTTTTGTGGGATTCAGGGAGTGTTTTTAAACAATTATTTTTACTTGTTTTAAGTAGTTTTAAGTAAAAAAACTACGGAGTAAAAAATAGAGAGTAGTGGATTTAAATACTTTTCACTTGTTTATTACTTCAAAAAAAAAAACTTTTTATTATACACTAACATACTAACTTCTTTTCACGGGTGGTCATCATTAAACGGTCATATTCTTTTGTGAGAATTAGAGCCTTATTTCTCATCCTAATTCAACACCGACATCCCGGTGACACTACTCCTGCTCTATGATTTCCTGATTCAGGAGCTTCTGCTCATATGACTGCATCTGAAGGTAATTTAGTTAATAAATCTCCCTACATCGGCTATAATTCTGTTAGTGTTGCTAATGGTGCCCATCTTCCCATATGTAATATTGGTGATGTTGCTTTACCTACATCTGGTCGTCCTCTCACTTTAAAATCCGTTTATCATGTGCCTCAGTTAAAATATAATTTAATTTCCATTAAAAGGCTCTGTGCTGATAATAATTGTACTGTAATTTTTGATAAAAATTCTTTCTTGGTTAAGGACAAAGCAACGGGGGCAATACTTCTGTGAGCTACTAGTAGTGGATCACTTTATCCTCTCCATCTGCTGTCTGCATCACCATTAGTTTTTGCTTCCGTTTTAGCCTCTGGCCCTGTGTGGCACCGTAGATTAGGTCACTGTGGTGATAGTACTTTACAGTTTCTTAAGAAAAAACAATTTTTATGTAGTCATACTCCCTTTACTCATGAGTGTGTGGCTTGTCGTTTAGGAAAATCATAACGTTTACCTTTTATGGATGCTAGTCATAATTCTATTTTTCCTTTGGAAATTATTCATTCTGATGTGTGGCAGTCACCTGTGTATTCAAATTTGGGATTCAAGTATTATGTATGTTTCATTGATGATTTTTCTCGTTATACTTGGATATATCCCATGTGTCACAAAAATGAAGTTTTCATGCACTTTAAAAATTTTAAAGCTTTGGTTGAAAATCTTTTTAATCAGAAAATTAAAATTTTTCAAAGTGATGGGGGAGGTGAATTTGTTAATAATAATATGCAACGATTTTTCTCTGCTAATGGCATTTACTTTAGAAAATCTTGCCCTGACACACCTCAACAGAATGGGGTTGCTGAGCGCAAGCATCGTCATTTACTTGAGTTAACTAGGACCATGCTTCTTGAAGCTTCGGTTCCGAGTCACTATTGGGTCGATGCCATATTTACTGCTGCATATATTATTAATAGATTACCCTCTCCTACCTTAAATGGTCTTACTCCGTATCAAAAAATGTTTAACCGAGTTCCAGATTACTCCTTTATGCGAGTATTTGGCTCTGCCTGTTATCCAAATTTTAATGCCACCTCAGCCAATAAATTATCACCTCGTTCAGTTCAGTGTGTTTTCCTTGGCTATGCATCCGGTTATAAAGGCTATCGTTGTTTGGATCCTTTCACAGGTCGAGTCTATGTTAGCCGTCATGTTAGGTTTCATGAGGACACATATCCTTTTAAAACTCTCTCGTCTGCTCCATCCAGGTCTATTTCTACTACACCATCTCCTATGCATCTCACCGATATCACTCTTGACCCACCACTCCAGCCTGTTCCCACAATTACGGCCGCACCAGCACCAACCCCATCATCGCCACCTCGGTCACCAAGTATTCCTATCACTCCGAGTGTACCGTCGCCCCATTCCTCCTATCCCACGTCCACAACCAGCCCCCCACCATCCCATCTCTCCTCCCATACTTCGTCTAGCACGCCACATACAACATCAACCGACACTGTCTCACCTGAAACCACCTCACCTACGTCCACTACGGTAGTTAATCACCATCCCATGCAAACCCGTGCTAAGTCAGGAATTTTTAAGCCTAAAACCATTTTTAATTTAAGTACAGTTACTATCAATGCAGATCCTACCTGTTTTACTGAGGCAAATAAACAATTAAAATGGCGTGAGGCGATGGCTGATGAATTTAATGCACTCATTAATAATAATACGTGGGACTTGGTGCCCTTTGATAACTCTAAAAATATTGTTGGTTGTAAGTGGATTTATAAAACTAAATATCATTCTGATGGATCCTTAGAGCGCCATAAAGCTCGATTAGTTGCACAGGGTTTTAATCTTCAGGCAGGTATTGATTTCTCTGAAACTTTCAGTCCTGTCGTTAAACCCACCACTGTTCGTATTGTACTTACTCTAGCTATTTCTTTTGGGTGGGGAATACGACAACTTGATGTTAAAAATGCCTTCTTACATGGGAATCTGACAGAAGAAGTTTATATGCGGCAGCCCCGTGGTTTTATTCACCCTCACTTTCCTAATCATATATGTCGTCTGCGGAAGGCCATTTATGGCCTTAAGCAAGCTCCACGAGCCTGGTTTCATATATTTAGTAGCTTTCTTCTACAACATATTTTTTCCTGTAGCAAATCCGACAATTCTTTGTTCATATACCGCCAGAATAATACTATTATTTATTTATTACTATATGTGGATGATATTATTATTACTGGCAATTCTGATTTCTCTGTTACCCAATTTATTTCAATTATATCTAAACATTTTGCTATGAAAGACTTGGGTAATCTCCATTATTTCCTGGGTGTTGAGGCCATTCGTTCAGCTAAAGGTTTGTTTCTCTCTCAACATAAATATGTTACTGACCTTCTAGCTCGTTTTCACCTTCATACTGTCAAACCTGTTCGCACCTCGTTAGCTTCCCGTACCACTCTGTCTCTTTCTGATGGTGAGCTATTATCTGATTCTACTGAGTATCGCAGCATGGTTGGTGCATTACAATATTTAACTTTGACACGGCCAGATATTACTTATGCAGTACACTTAGTGTCTCAGTTCATGCATGCTCCTCGTACCACTCATCTTTTTGCAGTCAAAAGAATTTTCAGATATTTGCAGGGAACACGAGATCATGGACTTTGGTTTCAGCAGTCTAATCGGCCAACCTGTATAGTTGCTTACTCCGATGCAGATTGGGCAGGTTGTCTTGATAGTTCTCGGTCTACCACAGGTTTTGCTGTATTTTTTGGGCCCTAATTTGGTTTCCTGGAAGGCTAAGAAGCAGCCCACTGTGTCCAAGTCCTCCACAGAAGCGGAATATCGTGCCATTGCTTACACAGTACAAGACACACTACATATCCGCTCAGTCCTGTTCGAACTTGGATGGCCTATCTCCGAGCCGGTACATTTATTATGTGATAATATATCTGCTTCTTACTTGACTGCAAATCCAGTTCAGCATGCTCGCAGTAAACATATTCAGATTGATTATCATTTTGTGCGCGAACGGGTTGCTCATGGAGATCTGATTGTTCAACATGTTCCTACTCATCTACAGCTGTCAGATATTTTTACTAAAAGTCTATCTAGTCAACGTTTTCATTTTTTGAAAGACAACCTGTGCGTTGTATCTCCCGCACAGTTTGAGGGGGTGTAATAGAATTATTATAGGCTTAGTATTGTACTTTACATTAAACTCTCTCTAATATAAATATATCTGTCAGGGCTCCTCATGGAGTAACCTTTTCCATTATTTCACAAAGATCACTGTCTGGAAAATCGAATGATGGATTCTGAGTATAAAATGCAACCATCAGCAAAGACAACCAACTTTATTACAGCATTTGCCCTAAATATCTTGTGCGTAGTACTTCGTATTTTTGTAAAACTATGTTCTCTCCATTCTATGGATGCCCGAGGGCGCCAAGGTTGTGGGCCAGTGTTGATGGCCCATCTGTACATCGAGGATCGAGGTCAGAGGAGTTTGCTGATTTTTGCTCCAGTCCCTCATTCGGTTTCAAGCTCGATGCGTGCATCGAGGGCATTCTTCTAGAGTTGGGTCACCAACAACCTGTTCCATCTCAGTGAGTAGGGATGGGTCCGAAAAACCGAAAATCGAATCAAATTATACCGAACCGCGACCAAACATAACCGAATCGCTAAAAACCGAAACCGAATGTAAAAAACCGAACCGAACTGTAATAGTTTGGTTCGGTATTGGTTTTTACCCTTCAAAACCGAACCGAACCGAACAAACCGAACAAAAATAAAATATGAAATTTTATATGTTGAATGTAAGCATTGATCTTAATACCATCAATAATCTTTGAATTTCTTGTGCTAGAGAAATAATGTTTGTGCTATGTTTAGTTTAGTTTATAAATGCATTTACACATTCATTTCCCATAATAATACAACTATATTATTGATCTATTATGTCTTTCATGTATGTATGTTGTAATTTGTTGCACGATTATATGTTTTTACTGGTTATTAGTGGTAATTAACTTTTATTTGTATGTAACTTAATTTTTCTTTTTGTAACTTAAATTTTTTATATTGATAAAACAAATAAATATTCATCTCAGTTATATCACATAGGACGTGTGTATTCATAAACTTTTTTCAAACTGGTCACAAACAATGTAAATTAAGAATAGATACACACTTTTATCTCTCCCGCATACTCATATAATTCAAGACATTTTTGTTTATTATTATTATCTTTATTTGTTCAAGTATGCTTGCATTTTTAGGTAACATGTTTGATCCCTCCAACTTTTATATCAATTTTAAATGAAATGATAATTTTTTAGTAAAAAACCGAAAAACCAAAACCGAACCGAAACAAACCGAACCAATCAAACCGTGGTTCCAAGTTTTGGAGTGTAAAATCGAACCGAAACCGAACCGAACTTTTACTTTGGTTCTGTATTTGGTTTAGGTCAAAACCGAACCAAAATAACCGAACCCACCCCTATCAATGAGGATGCCGCCCTCGACATTCTTTTTTGGAGGAGCCAACATCGTTAGTCTCTTCAGGGACCTGAGGGTTGTCCTCATCAGTCTTGGGGTTGCCTTCGGTTCTTCCTATTTTATGAAGGTGTTGTTGTTTGGGGGGGGGGGGGGGGGGGGAGGGGAGGGGAGATTGTATTAAATGAATAGTAGTCTGTTACAACTCTTCAAGGGTAGCTATTTATACCAGTCATAAATGGCAGGTGCATTAAATGCACATACACGTGTAAGCTAATCTATGGCTTACACGGGCACATGGCGCAACATTAATTGCAGTGATTGATTGTTGAGGAATGCTGGATAGAGTGAGATGTCTGTGCCGAGGCCGAGGCCAAGGCCTCGGTGCCAAAGGCTTTGCCCGAGGGCTTGCTCAAGGAAGCGAATGATCCACACTTATTGCTAAGGCGAACCGGAGTGATTCCCGAAGTTTGGTGCCTTCGAACTTAGGCCCAAAGGGTGTTCCTTGTCGGAGATGGACTGTTTTGTATCTAGGTCGTTGTATACGGGCCACTTGTATACAATAGTGTTGATATAAGGGATGATATAAATAGATTTTTTTATGAGTATTATTCCCTCCGTCCCTGAATTTTCTTCAAATTTTCCTTTTTTCGTCCGTCCTAAAATTATCTCCTCCTTCCCTTGTTGGCAAAGAATTTGTGGTTCACAATCATTCTTACACATTTCTCTCTCCTCTGCACAACTCTCCACCACACAAAACCTACTATCTTAATTAGTGTGCCCAACCGAAATGGGAGAAAAAACAGGGAAGGAGGGAGTAATAATCTAGGCTGATGGGCAATGTGATGGGCCCAATGGTTTTGTAAATATGGCAAGGCAAGCACAAGCCTTTGGGAAACAAGGCCTGCTTTTTATCACCAGTCATTAAGTTACGTTAAATAAAAATAGCTTCGTAAATTCCATCGTCCTGCCCGGCCACACTGGAACTGTGCAGATAGAAGAAATAAGCTGAAAATCTTGCCGGTTCACAGCGGAAAGAAGATCCATAGCAACAAAGATGTTAGCGTCGCCCGTGGTGAACACTTACCCTCTATCCAGCTATACCTTCGGAACCAAAGAGCCGAAGATGGAAAAGGACACCTCCGTCGCCGATCGTCTTGCTCGAATGAAAGTCAAGTATGTTATTCCTAGTCTTTCCTTTATTTTTATTTAGCTATGTTTTTCCTCTTTTGTATGCTCTTTGTTCATTGCTTTCAAGAACTATGATTTTTTTCACCCGGAGATTGCATTCTTGGGGCAGAAAAAACCCTAGATAAACCTTGTAAGCTTTATTAATTTTTCATGAAAATTCGTTATGCTATGGTGTTTCTATATATAAAACTCCCACCAAAGTTTAAACTTGTAAGGGATTATGTTGCCAATTCTTTGTTGTATTGAGCTGCAGTTACATGAAGGAGGGAATGAGGACTAGCGTTGAAGGAATTTTATTGGTATGATTTTTTACTACTGGTATTCACAATGTCGTGTTAGGTCACTTACGCGTTGCTTTTGCTTATTTCTGCTCTGTATGTATACTTCTAGGGCTTGTTAGTATTGTACTTAAAGTTCTTGAGTTTCTTTGCACGGTACTGCTTGAACTCTCAATATTTATGGGATGTTTAATCTGATTTGTTAGATTAATATGCGCGGGGGGAATTATAGCTATCTAAATGAAGAACACACGTGTTTCATACACTTTCCTCATTTCCTTGCTCATGAGAGTCATTACACCTAGGCATAATTTTTCATGAGGGGAACCTATTGTATTACATTAACTTTACCTTAATAATAAAATAATAACAATAATAGTAATATTAACAGTAATAATACTAATGGTTAACTATTGTGTTATTGTCTCGTCTTTTCTCCAAGGGTTCATGAATTATGTAGATGACATTATGACATTTGACAAATTCGATGCTTTTGTTTCTTTCCTTGCGTGGGTGAGTGAGGCTAGTTCTGTAGTTCATCCACTTCCACATAATCCTTTAGCTTTCTCACTAATATATGGCTAGAGTAGAAACTGGTATCATTAATTTCTGTATAGTTGTTATATTAATGAATATAAACTGTGTGTTATATAACATATTCAGGTGCAAGAGCATAATCATCCTCATATTCTTCTTCTCCAAATCGGGAACACATTTTGCAAACTTCCTGGTGGGCGTTTGAAGCCGGGAGAGAATGGTTTGATTCTTCTTCTTCATCTTCCTTTTCCCTCTACCTCTTTTTTTGTTGTCACTTGTCATTTGTCAATTACTCACTATGCATTTGTTTATATACACATATCTTTCTCTAAAATTGTCAATTCCCCAATCCCCATAAAAGTCTCATCTTCTTACCGTGGTAGTGTGGTGGTTGATTTTCTAATTTCTATAAACCTTACAGAAATTGATGGTTTGAAAAGGAAGCTCTCCAGCAAACTAGCAGCTAATTCTTCTACTATTCAGCCGGATTGGCAGGTAAACTGTGAGCACAATATTATAAAATATAGCCCAATACTTGGCAGCACTGGTCGTTATTAAACAGAACCTCGGTACACTAAACAAGTAATGGAGCTTAATGCCTAAGGCTCTCTGGTAATTTGTGTACCTATTGTAATTACATTCAAATCAGGTCCGCGTTTAATTGTATGTGAAACAAATGCAGATTGGTGAATGTGTGGCCGTCTGGTGGAGGCCAAATTTTGAAACAATTATGTACCCTTATTGCCCTCCACACATAACGAAGCCTAAGGTATGTTGTTCAGTTACTTAGTGTTATCATTCTGTGTTGGTGATTTGGAACTTTGCTCTCATTGGTAAAAAAATCATTATTGAGTTGGAATGTCATATTATGCATTGGTAATTGCTTTAGGAGTGCAAAAAGCTATACTTGGTCCATCTATCTGAGAGGGAGTATTTTGCTGTCCCCAAAAATTTGAAACTTCTTGCAGTGCCATTGTTTGAACTATATGACAATGTTCAGGTATTACCCAAATACATAAGTTTTTCTTCTTGCTTATAACTGGTTTGTCTTTTTCTATACTTATCATAGTACAAGTTTTTCGGGACATACTTGTTGCTAGTGTAAATTGGATAGTACATATACATATAGAGGGTTCATTTGAGTAAAACCCACACACACAGAGAGGGTTCATTCTGTGAGAAAATGAGAACAGAAAGAAATAGACGCACTTCTGATACAGTTCCATTGCACTTTGTAAGTATTGGAATATGAACTTTTCTAAATGAATGTCGTAGTCCAAGTCGTACTAAGTTACAACTCTGTCATCATATTTTTGCTCCCCCTGATTTTTGTTCCATTATATCTATAATCTAATGCATCATGTTCATTCTCATCCGTTTAATGCAAATCGCACTTTGTTATACTAAACACACACACACACATGCAGTGGCGCATCCAGAAAATTTTCCGAGGAGAGCAAAGTTGCACTAGATTTCAGTCAAACATTTCACAAATAGCAGATCACATTATTAATCTTATGTAATTAATTTTAGTTTAAATTATAAATGTTCAAGTATGTATAAAAAGATCAACTTATATTGCTTGTGAAAAGATGCAAATGTAGATAAGATTTGAGGAAATTCCCTAAATAGGAGTTAAACATGATATATTTTCTCAAATAGAAGTATCATTGTTTTCATCCCAAAAGAGGACTCCTGCACTCCTCTTTGGGGATTTTTTATCCTTTTATTCTTTTAATACGATTACATAAATCTATATTTGGGGAAGAAAACACACTTAGTCTTATTTTAGGATTTTGCCTATGTTTTACTCCTATTTTGAGAAATTTCTTATAAATTTGTAGATTATATATATAGGGGTCGGGTTGGGGTTGAGGGGGGAAGCTGCCCCCACCCTAGATACGCCCCTGCACATGTCTACCGAAATCTTCCAACATGCACCTTACAAAACCTATCACCCCTATGCAACTTAAAAAATATACTAGAGGGGGCGGGGTAATGAGAATGGAAGAAGGGTAATGAGAATGGAAGAAGGGTCAAACTAAGGGTATGTTGGGGGCTTAAAAGAAGTTTATTTTGGAGCAACTGGTAGCGGGTTTTGGAGCATGGCTCTGTGCGACTGTGTGTAGGGCTTGGCTTCTTGTGCTGCTTACTTAATTTTTTTAATATTCAATTTGCAACAGAGATATGGACCGGTGATATCCACAATTCCACAGCAGCTGTCCAGGTTCCAGTTCAACATGATCCATCCATAGTTTGAGGACTTTCAACAGCCCTTGTCCATGGACACGATAACAAATATGAATTCCGCATGGTTTAGAGGTCAGCTTTGAAGAGTTCTAGTAGAACAAACACTTGTGAAACAAAACTGTCGCCTGCTTAGTCGGCCGTTGACCTGAAAACGCGTAAAACTGAGAAGTAATTCTTTTTTGTATGCTTCATTTCTGATTGATGTTTGAACTAGAGAGGCAGTGTTTTTTTGCAGACACTGTTCACTAGGGGTAGAAATTGTAATTTAGTTTCATTGTCATTGTTATACAGACTGCGATATTGCTTTAAATTGCCAGTATTGTAACCGCTGGCACCGACAAGCCATTCTTTGGTGCTTAGCGGACATATTTATTATAGGTGTAACGACTAACGATAGTGTTGATTTTGCTTTGGCATTATCTAAAATTTTAGATGGTCCTTTTAGCTTTCTTTGGGGAGCGAATTGTTTTTCTGGTTCGTAGTGAGTTAACGTGGAAGGACCGTATGGTCTCTGGGTCCCACACTTTTTTTTAATAATAGAAAAGTACAAAAGAAAATGCCACGTGGCCCAATCAAAAGATTGGGACACGATGGGGACAATGGAGCGGGATAGAAGATTTGCTCCAATATTTCAATGTTTGCCCAACATAATTTGGGACAAGAGGGTGTGCCACAACTTTTTAGAAAAAGTGGAATTGTGTGGTTGATATTGGATTGATAAAGTTGGAATAAAGTAAGAATTACTACCTCCGTCCCTTAAAATTTTGTCAAAGTTGATCGGCACGGAGAATAATAAAGTAAAAACTGTGTGGTTGAGGTTTGTGCAGGGGAGAGAGAAATAACAGAAACCACAAAATAATTGATTAAAAGGGAAAGTGTCAAAATATTTTGGGACGTTCCAAAAAAGAAAGATGACAATGTTTTAAGGGACGGAGGAAGTAATTGTAAACATTCAATTATTATCAAATATGTTATAAGATAAACTCAATGAGACGGACAAAAAAGGTAAAACGGAACAAAATTACGGGGACAGATGGAGTAATTGTTACTGAAAAATCAGGTCGGTAGGAGATCAAATATTCATTCATTTGGCTGTTTACTTATTTCTTTTATGGTTGTAGTTAATTGCAAGATACGGAGTATATTTCTAGTTACAAAGTAGTTTATGTTTGGTTCAACAGGGAACTGAACAATTACATATATTTGATAATTGATATATGAATAGTTAGTTTAGTTTATGTTATTTTATTGATCTTAAAACATTAAAGTAGTAATATGGAAAGTATTAGTGCAGGGTAGGGGTGGACTGGGAGTCAAGGACGGGTTGGCTCGACCCGGCCCGGTCTGGTATTGTGCAAGCCCAGCCTGACTCGTCCGGCCAGGACTGGGGCTCGAACTGGGTATAAAATAGGCATGACTAAGAAATGGTGGATCGTCCTAGCTGGTCCGGACTCCGGACCCTTTTTTTTTTTTAATTTTTTCGGGTTGGACTGACTGCTAGATGGGCGGGGTTGGGCGGTTTGGGAGGGGGGTTGGGGCCTGGGGGTGGGGGCCTGAGGGGTGGTGAAGTGGGGTTGGAATTAATCAGAAAAGACAAAAAAAAATTATTTCACGCCCGCCCCGGCTCAGCTTGCCCCGGTTCTAACCCCGGCCGGTACCGGGCCTTAATATTTTGGACTCGGTGCCCGCCCCAGCCTGACCCGGAGTCCGACCCGACCCGAGTCCACCCCTAAGTGGAGGTATTTTACACTAATTCCGTAATGTTTTGATTAGAAAAAAGGCTATTTAGCTACTAAGAAAGTATGAAGTAAGAAATGAACTTTTACAAAGCAGTGAAGCACTATTATTATTATTACTACTCCCTAATACCAAACTCCAAAATGGTGGATGGGGTGTTGGGCTTTAATATTTAAATGGATGTAGCTCCTCCCCCACCCCCACCCACACACTTTCCCTTCAATACCCCGAAGAATCCTCCTACAACTTTTCCTCCAAAGACCAAAGTCTCTTCATAAAAAGGGCTTGCATCTATTTTAACAAAAAAATTCCCACCTTAAGGGGCGACACTCATTTAAAGGGAAGGTGAGTGGGTGGTGGTGGGGTGGAGCTATCATTAAAATTTAAAGGGACGTTTAGAATTGCTTCCCCATTCGCGAGGGCCCCCGAATCTCGACCGGATGGTACGTTAGGAGGATGTAAATTGGACTATAATCACAATCTGACAGATAGAGAGTGAGACTCTGTCCCCGGTACTTGCAAAGACCCTATGCATTTTTAGCATAGTAACCTCTCATCGCAGTTGTCGGGATTCGAACCCAAGACCTAACCCTTGTGACACTCCCTTGCTACCAGTTGAGCTACGCCCACCGGTTATAGAATTGCTTCATAGTCCATCTCTTTCTAAATATGTAACTTTCAAACAAAAATAAAAGTTTTTTTCATTTTCCCTCTCCTTCCCCTCTCATGGCTAATTTCAAAACCCTTTCCTTCTTTGTCACAAAACTCCCAAACATACCCTAAGGGTAGGCATGGACTCGGTGCGTGCTGGGCCGAGTCTCAGGCCGGCCTGACTGAGCTTTTTTGGGAACCTTGAGGCCCGGAACCGGCCCAGGTAGCTACCGGTTCTGGTTCGGGCTGGCTACCTATTTTTTTTCTAATTACTTCCTACCCCTCCCACCCCCTCCCCACACTCCAAACCCGTCCAAAACACCCAGCCCAACCCATTTACATTTATCAAATTTTAAAAAACAAAAAATGGGCCCGACTTGGGCCTGAACCGGCCGGGCCGGTTCATGGGTTGGGAGGCCGGGAATTGCCCCTTAACAGTACCGGGCCGGGTGGCCCGAACCGGATTATGAGCCGGGTACCGGGCCGGGCCGAAACAATAACGGGCCCGGGCCGGTTACGGGCCGGTTTACCCGGCCCGAGTCCACCCCTACCTAAGGGTATGTTTGCGTGTTATATTTTGGAGGGGAGGAGAAGTATTATGAGGATTTATGACCTACCTTTTCTTATTTGAGAGTTTAAAAAATTGAAAGGTATAGTTTTGGAGGGTTTTTGTAACCCTTCAAAACCTTTCAGTGCTCAATTTTTAAATTCTCACAAATTGAGGGATTTTGGAAGATAACTAATAAATTGATGAATTTGATTTACTTGAAATAGATATAAGTTCAACTATTTAAATTCGTCATATTTTGAAGTAATTTTAGTTATTATTTCTCTATTCAAATTAATTAACTAGCAAATAAAAAGAATGGTTTCCCCCCTTATCCTCTCTTCTCTTCCCAAGACTAACCTTCAAGACCTTCTCCTACCCTCTTCTCTCCGAGCTCTCAAACATACCCTAAAGCTACTTAATAGATGTAAGGGTTAATTATCAAAATAGGACTAAAAGTCACTCACTTTGTCGCTTTGCATAAATAGGACCAAAAAATAAACTATGTTTTCATAGGACTAGTTATGTGTGTCTTGGATAAATATACCCTTATATCTATTGAAATGTTTTAATTCATAATAAAATAATTAAAAATAATAAAAAATTCGTAAAAAATACTTAAAAATTAATAAAAATATTTCGATAACAATTTATTTATTTATTTATTTTCAATAAATAATTTTTTTTTTAAAAGTAAAAAACTCAAAAAAATAAAATAAAATTCACCGCCGCCTCTGTCGCCTCTGCACCACCACCTCCAGTCCCCAGGGGAAAAAATGTCAAGTTCATTATGAATTCCATATTTATGGCAGAAAACAATGAAAATGTTGGCATTCTCAAAGAGAAATATGCCATGTTTTTGGCATATTCAGAAAAAATGGTAGTTTTTAGGAAAAATGGCATTTTTTTACCACCCGAAGATGGTGGTGTAGGGAGGTAGTACCGGCGGTGGGAAAGGCATCCATTTTTTTTTAATTTTTTTTATGGAGTTTTACTATTTTTTATTAATTATTTTAAAAAATAAAAAAAAAATTTAATTTTGTATTTTATAAATATTTTATAATTTTTTTAATTATTTTTCTACGATTTTTTGATTTTTTTTTCAAATTTGTTATGAATTAAACATTTAATTAACTCATATTTAAAGGAAGGGTAAGAATGGAAGGAAAAAATAGGTATGTTTCCAATAAGACTAATTTGGTCCTATTTTGAAAAGAAAAACATAGTAAGTCCTATTTTGAGTTTTTGCCATAGTTTTAGTCCTATTTGGAGTAATTTCTATAGATGTAACCGAGGATGACATTGAAATAAAATGTTTGTTTACCAAATTAAAATTTATATGCTTCTTTGGTCCACTAGCTTATCAGGATTTCAAATAGGTTTAAGATTGTTTTTATTTGAACTTATTTCAGTCCCAGACCAGGTCAAATCAGAATAGAGTACTTTATCAAAAAATTTCAGTCCAAATAAAAATATTTTAAATACATTTTTAATTTCTATAAATAGTGTTTATTCACGGTAATTGCATCATAAAAAAGATTTCATAAGTCCTATTTAATAGTCTGCTGCACTAATATGATTTCTTTAATTCTTTTTTCTTTGAGGAAACATGTTGCCCCGAAGTCCTAACGTTTGGGTGGTAATTGGTCCACTCGGTATGATAATACTTGTCCATCTCTAAACTAGAGTGCGTCTCATGCATGTATGCCTACTAATATACATGAATGTACCTTTTGTATTCATTAAGAAGAAATATCTCCTTCATAGACTCATAGTATCGAAAGTCATACATCAATGAACAATTAGATCATACTAAACCTCAACGATGATCAATTGCTTTGAAATCTGTCCTGCTTTAATGAACCACCATCTTACAGACATTATAAGTCATCACACCACCCAAATATATCCACACAAGTAGGGATGGACTCAACCGGCCCGGAACCGGCCCGGTCCGCTACTGTGCGGGCCCGGACCGGACCAGGACCGGTTGGCCGGTTCCGGGCTTTTAGCCCGTTTGGGCGTGTCGGGCAGGCCGGGCTCGGGCCCAATTTTGGGCGAACCGGCCTGGGTCAATTTTTTTTTTCTTCAATTTTTTTCTTTCCTAGGATAGGGCTGGGTGTTTTGGGGAGGTTTGGGGGTGAGGGGGGGTCGGGGGATAACAAGAAAGCAAAAAAAATAATAGACATTGAACCGGCCCCAGCCCGGCCCGGCCCGATTAGGCCCGGACCCGGTATCAACCCGGGCCGATTCTGGGCCCAAGGATTTGCAAAAAAAGCCCGCCCGGCCCCAGCCCGGAACCAGAACCGGACCGGGTCCATCCTACATACAAGTATAGTAGTATACAACCCCGTGGTAGTCCCCTTATTACATCTACAAGATGTCTTTCGATTATGTTAAGGATTATTTTGTTTGATTATCAATTGAACTAAACAATTAAGTCATACGTTATGCCTCAATTGAGTTACACTTCTCCACCAACTCCAATTACTATTCTACGCCATTGTTGATCTTAAAGACTTGCACCTTTAAGCGATGAGAAAAACCTCCACACTTGTACAAGGCGTGTTTTAGCTTTTTATCTGTTATTTATATACTGTCAAATACATCACTATGCACACTATAGCAATGAACAACAAATTTTGTATTGTTTCTACAGCATCACCTCACAACACTTCTAAATAAATTGCATACAATAAATATCACCACACAAACTTTATAAACACGATTCCAAAGCCTCAGAAGCACCCACACGCTTTGGTTGGAAGGGTTCCGGTGGCACGGTGTTTCGCTGCCAACTCCTCTGCCTTAAGAAGGTCTTCTCCTCGTTTTGCTTCAATCATTGCTCTCTTTTCCTCTGCTCCCCTGTGAAGCATTGCAATCTTGTTTTTCATTTTCTCTATATATTCCGCCTTTTGTATCTCCAACTTCTCCTGCTCAAGTAGTCAAGGGTAGAGTATTTGAGGTCAAGGTTTTGTTTAACATGGCAATTGGCAAAAGCTATCTATATGTTAGCTACTACTTCATAAGTTTTTCAAAGCTAATTTATATGTTGGCTATTATTTTTCCACTAGGCTAATCATTTTAATTAAATAAATTCTCTTTGGTTGGATGAAGTTACTTGATAAGCTTCCTTGTGTGGCTTTTCAATTATAGCTATGTGGGCTTCTCATTTATAATTTTACTTATTACCTACTTCTCGTTTACTAAGGCTACTTTATATCCTTTCGTAATACTAAGGCTATTTTTGACATGCCCTAAGTTAGCCATTTTTTTAAAGAATGATTTTCAAAAAGGATGTGTTAAGTTCAAAAACTTATTTGATAAGTTCAAACTTATCAAATCTATATTTAGAAGAAGAGCTGAAGCTCAAGGCTATCGATTGAACTAGACACTATTGTCTTTAGCCGGAAAAAGTTATTGAAACCAATTTGTCAGCTAAATGAAGTAAACAATATTTTGTGAAATGTTATTGCAACTAGAAAATGTAAAATTACCAAAAAGGTAAAATCGAAATAAAGTTACGGTAAGTTAATTGATTGCACTGAAATGCTCAAATTAATACTTATTCAAATCATCTCATTGATTTTTTATTTACTCGTCTGTAGCACTTCATCTAAACAAGATTACATGTGAAACAATTGTCTGGGTCAATTGAAGTTCAATTCAAAATGAGCTGAAGTGGCTTTACGAACATAGTCTAAATTAGAGTTTTGTGTCTAATTCTTTGAACAACTTGTCAAAGAGAGAGAAATGACATGAATTAATTTTTTGTGTCTATCTCTTTGATGCCACATTTGCACTTTCAACACTTTAGCATTGGAGATGCTCTAAATTAGAGTTTTTTTCACTTTTTACCATTTCTTATTCTTTTAAAATTATTTTAAACATTCTCTCAACCTGGTTTTGTATTTCAAAGCTGCCGGATGATAACTTTTTTAGTTTTTTAGATTCATGGACCCAATTCAATTCAATCGGATCTTCCACACATATTTTAGTCTCCCAAGAACGTTTTTTAAAACTGTTTGACCCACAAATTTTGAGTCTTATACTTTCACCCAATTTACAGGGTTCAAAAAGCAATCGATCAGTCAAGATTAAGTGAGAGCTACCTGATGATAGTTGATAAGTCACTTGTTGCCTGATTAGTTTAGTTAGTAACATCTAAATGACTTGATTTTATAAAATACTTTACAAATATTAGATGATAAACTAGTTTTGGCATGATAAAGACATAACAGAAAATGCAAAATAAATTTTAAATAAAAAGATTAAAAATGAAAAGAAAGAATGACCAAAACATAATCCCTAGCTTTTTAATAAACAAAAATAAGACCACTTTCAATACTTCCAAAAACTGATTAGAGTAGAACTAAATTAGCTCAAATCCTAATTTTCTCTCCTACAACAATTTGTGAATTGTTACTGCTGCAGCCAACCAGCAAAATATCCATGTTTCAACCAGTTGTTGCTAATGATTCACTAGCAGGGGTGGTGCATAAAAGTGACATATTTAGTTTAATTCATAGAATGTTCAAAAAGTAGTCACAAATTTTCCATTAGTATTACTATCGCAATATTGAAGGAAAACAACCCAATGTATTAAATGATCCTGGGTTATGAAAAATCGTTGTAGTCCATGTTCCGGAAACCATGGAGTGGAAGGGAACAAGCATTTCAAAGAAGCTGCAAATACTGGTATAGAAAATTGGAACAATGAAAGATATAATTTGGTCTTATTCACCTCAATCTTTTTCAGCTCAGCTTCTATATCTGCTTTCTTTTTGTTTTCCCATGAACCAATTTCAGATAGCTTCTTGTGAGCTCTGTAATCAATCACAATCATTAAATTAGTTTAGTGTAACTCAGCGGACCTCAAACCCATTAACAGTAATAAAGAGTGGAACCAAATGCCAAGTTAAATCTGAACTGAAAGTAGCTAGAAGAAATGACAGTTCTGACGATCATCCAAAAGGGTGATATGCCAAAAGTCCAAAACAAGGGAATAGCTGATCTAACTGAAGCATTCAATGCCAAAAGGAATATATCTTATATTTGTTCGGTGCAGGATGGGTTGACATTTCTCCAAAACGACAGCCAGTTGAGATAGTTCAATGACTTCAATCTAGAAATCCTTATACTCGCTTTATAGGCTTAACAATAATGAAATACCTGTTTGAGTCCTTGAGATTATCATGTTCAGATGTTCTCATAGCATTTTAAGAGTTATGATTGCATTTATAAGATCTTAGCATGTAATTAATACTTGTTCTATGATGTGGATGACTTAAACAAATTAAAGGAAGTTAGTTACTTGTTCTCAGCCTTTGCTTTTTCACTTTCTTCCCAGGCTTTGATGAGGGCATGCTTCTTTTCTGTAGCTACTCGCGCAAGCACTACATCTGTCATTGGATCCAATAAAGCTGTCAGTGAACACCAAAAGTATGGAAATAGAGGCATCATGCATTGTGATTTACTGATTTGTACTTGTACCTCTATCGATGGATCCTCCCTCTTTTTTCTCTTCCACATGTTCTGGTTCTGTAGCTTCTTCTGCAAAAGAAAATGAAGTTTCAAATGTGATGTATTGTATTATGAGTTCTAGTTGCTCTTTTGGGAAATTACTCATTTGGACAATTATGATTTGGTTGTTCTGTCTTAAAGAGGGATAACCTAATTGTTGGTTCCTCGATAGGTTCGTATCTTACCTCGCCTAATATTGAACTCTTCAGTCTTCAGTAATAATAATTACCCAAAATAAAAAGAAAATTTTAGTTGCCAAAAACAAGATTTTAAAGACATGCTGAAAACCAATAACCTACTTTTGCATTTATTTTGTCTTTAATTTTGGTTTGAAAAGAGAGCAAAAGAGCACCAGTCTAACAGTCTTTATTTCTAAGACAATAAATGAAAAGGCCTATTTGAGAATTGAGAGGAAGAGAACCTTGATGCAAGTTCAGAGATTTTTTAAATGACAACAATTTTTGGACAGAACTTTTAATGAATTTTGGGACTATTTTTTGGCCTATTTTGGGACTTTTTGGCTTAACCGACAATTAATGAGTTTGAATTGCACATTCAGGAAGCTCCTATATCATCCTGATCTGTTCAGTTCCACATATGAATTCACCGAACCACGAAATAATCCTTCAATATCAAGCATAGGAGCAGAAATAATGAAAGCTCGCTGATTTTACAGTGCACAAATTTCAAAATCAGAGAGAAAGAGAGAGAGAGAGTAGATACTGTGATCAACAAGGACGATAGCTTTAGAGTCATCAGCTGGTTTATGCTTCTCTGTTTCTTCTTCAGGATGAGAAGGAAGAGAGGAAGCAACAAGCGCTTTCTCTTCGGCTACTTCTTTGGGAGCGGCTACAACTGGTTCGGGTTCTGGAGGCGTCAGCGGCGGCGGGTGGTGTTCCACGGGCACCTCCTTGGTGGCTTCCGCCTCCGCCATGGATAAACAGATCAAGTAAGTAGGAGAATAACTGGAGAAATTGAGAAAGAGAAGCGTTGAAGAGGAAGGAGAGAGAGAGATAAGTAGGTAGTTAGTTGGCAGGCAGGTAAATAGTCGAGAGTGACAGAGTGGATAGTATCCTGAATAGCTGGATCTGTTTTGAACACATATGCACTATTCCCCACCACATTGATGATTACTACCGTCCGGGTTTGCTAATATTCTTTTGCATTTCACTTTACCGTCCCTACATTTTTATCACACCAAAATTTTGTCGACAACAGACAATTTTGTGTGAGTGACATAGACGAGTGTATGAAAGTGTACACCAAAATGTGTACATCGAGCATTTTTCAACTTTTTAGGAGTTTTTTCCTTTAATATTACTAAACAAAAGCTGATTTTAAAAAATGTGAACACTTTTATGTTTAGACAAAAATATGATTAAGATGATTTTATATTTGAAATAACATAAAGTGATTGCCAATTATTTATGTTACTGTCCAATTTTGATGTCACTGTCGGATGTCATTGACGTCGCCTGTATCACTACAATCGCAGCCTGTGTCACTATGACATAAAGTACTTTCTCCGTCCCAATTTGATTTGCAAAATTTCCTTTTTTGGTTGTCCCAAAATGGTTTTCCACTTTCTATTTTAGGTATGTAAATAAGAATAAAGTGACAAATTTACCCTTACTTTTACTTTTCCCCCTTAACTTAAAGACATCTACTTTTAGAAAGATGGGCAAAAATGTAAAAGGCAATCGTCATTTTTTTCATTTCTTAATCCTTGTCCCGATCAAAGTTTGCAATTCAATTCGGGACGGAGGGAGTATCAGATGTTGCATATATAGTATTAATAGTATTAGACCTGGACAAAACCGGGCCGACCCGCCCGCACAAATGGGCAGCTTGGACATATATATTTACCCACCGGCCCGGCCTGAACCCGACCCACAATAAGATATGGGTGGGCTTGGGTTAGGGTGTAGGCCCGTTCGGGCCGATAAGCCCGACTCGCTATAATAGTATATATTTATATATACTAATTTATTTATTTATTTGCATATACACATGTATATTTAAATTTACTAATTTATCTTTATACATATTTATAGTTTATTATGTTTAAATTTAAAATTTTAATTATTAACAACTAGCAACCCAACCAATATAATATCTATTTTTGTACTTAAAGATAATACTTTGTGCTTAAATTTTAAATTTTAGATATAGTTTCTCATTATTATTTTTGTGTAAGTATTTTTTTTGTATGTGGTGAAAGACGTATAAACATTATAAGTGTATTAATTATTTTTTAAATGTTGTAATATTATTTTTAAAATATTTAAAAAATCATATAATTTTGAAAAAGATAAAGTTTTCCCGGGCCGGGCGGCCCGGTGGACTACCCGGCCCGCTCTTATGGGCAGGTTTTTGCGGGCCGGTCCGGTCCCGCCCACTACTTAGACCTGAGCCCGGCCCGAACCTATTTTTGTACGGGTCTAAGTAGTACTACCTCCGTCCCTTAAAACTTTGCCAAAGTTGACCGGTACGGAGAATAATAAAGTAAAAACTGTATGGTTGATGTTTGTGCAGAGGAGAGAAATAATAGAAACCACACAATAATTGATTAAAAGGGAAAATGACAAAGTTTTTTGGAACGTCCCAAAAAAGAAATATGACAAAGTTTTTAGGGACGAGGGAGGGAGTATGTGAAAAACATCAGGGATTAATCACCAGAATCCATAAAGAATCAGGTGTTTGATATATAGTCGTGCCAAACGTAGGGTATGTTTGGCACGACTAGCTGAAAAAATACTTTTGTGAGCTTTTTAATAACTGTTAGCTTTTAGTGATTGAAACGATCTTAAAAAGAAAAGGTTGTAGTTGTTTGCTAAAAAGTCAACTGCTTGATTTAGTTCTGTTTGGTATACAAGCTGTTAAGACAAATTAATACTAAAAGTCACGATCTTTTCTCAGATGCTACTCCATGTAGCATCTCAAAAAAGATCTTTTATTTTTTTAAAAGCTCTTAAAATTTTTCATGTCAAACATACAACTAAATTCTTTTAGAGACTTTTTAAACAGTACAAAAGCTAGAAGGCAGACACTTATGTCTGGCAAACATGCACATAAACCATTAGTGTTTCAAAAGCCCATTTTACCAAAGATAGATAACATTTGGAAAATTGCCTTAAATAGAAGTAAACAACTCTGAAAATTCCAAAATAGAACTACTATGTTTTTTTGTATAGGACTAGTATGTTTTTCTTTTCAAAATAAGTCATCACTGTCATGATTGAGAAATACTGCCATGATTGAAAAATACTGTCATTAATTATAATAAATACTGTCATGCTAAATGCACAGTACTGCAACTATTTGACAGTCATGATTAAAAGATGGTCGTAAATACTGTCATCTTAGTCCTATTTCGGGAAGAAAAACATAGTCCTATTTTGGAATTTCAAACTCTATTTAGTCTTATTTTGGGAAATCTCCCATAACATTTTAGTGTAAATTAAACTGAGCTGCTAAACAAAGTGCAAAAGGGTATGTTTACTAACAGAGATATTTTTCAGTTTTCTATTTCTGTTTTTCGCTCTCCAATTTTCCATTTTCTTTCCCATTTTTTCTATCTCCAATTTTTTAGTTTTCCTTTTTAGTTTTTCATTTTCAAATCTGAAAACATGTTTATCAATTTTTTTCACCCGATTCCAAAAGACTGAAAGCATGATCCCATTCTGAAATCAAACCTAGTACAACCCAAGTAGGGTACCAGGTCCCACATATAGGAAAGTCTGGACCGTAACTGGTCGGACCCGGTCGATCTCAACGGTCGTGGATATGATCGGACTGGATAGGGACCGTCGGGTCATCGATCAGACATGGCAATGACCGCTAGGTCAATAATCGGACATAACAAGGACCGCCGGGTCGTGGACCGGACCGAACATGGGTCGCGAGGTCATGGACCAGATTGGACGGGGGTCCGACGGGTCATGGACTGGACCAGACTGGGATTGCGCGGCCATCAATCGGACCGGACAGGGACCGTCAGGTCAATGATCAGATCGGACCATTGGGTCGATGACCGGACCAGGTAGGGACCGCCGGGTCTTGACCGAACCAGACAGGGACCGTCGAGTTGTTGACCATACTGGATTAGACCGGGACTACCCGCCCGTCGACGGACTGAACAGGTACCGCTTGATCATGGATTGGGCCGAACAGTTATCATCGGGTCATTGATTGGACCGAACAGGGATCATCAGGTCATCGATCGAACCAGGCAGGGATCATCGAGTCTTGGATCGGAAGGGACAGTTGGGTCATGGATCAGTCTGGAAAGGGATCGCTGGGTTGTGGACCGGACAGAGACCGCCGGGTCTTCAATCAGACCGGACCGGGACCACCGGGTCATCGACCGGATCGGACTGAGATAGCTCGGCCGTCGACCGGACCGGATAGGGACCGCCGGGTCAATGATCAAATCGGACCGCCGGGTCATTGACCGAAGCAGATAGGGATTGTAGGGTCGTTGACCGGACTGAAACTGACACCGGAGCGGGATCAGATGCACCACTAGATGTAAGTATGCAAATTATTGCAGTGACACTGCAACGTCCGCGTTTTTCCAAATTCAGAAAACTAGTAAAAGTCACATCTCTAATTCATTAAGGAAAAAAGACATATCTCATTTTTTTCATTTTTGAAAACGATTTGGTAAACACAATTTTCTGGAGTCTAAAAATGGGTTTCCAGTGTTCTAAAAATCTGGAAAATATCTCTGTTAGTAAACAAGCTGAAGCACTAAATTTCTAGAGTCTATGTTTGGTAAAATGGGTTTCAAGACAGCATGAAGCAATTCATATTAACAATCCATGCTAACGAACGGAAAACCAGAACTGTGAAATTATTTTTCGGCCAAAACAGGAATGAGCCTTATATTAGCACTTCACAAAAATGCCCAGATAATTGCACCATTCCACAATTCCAGAAAATGACCAGTTCGCCTTGTTTAGCTGAAAATGGAATTTAGTCACTTTAACCGTTTTCATTAAAGAAAGTTCGGGACATATGAAGAGTTAAGACAAACAAGCCTTACTAATGACAAACAGCATATATCAACAGCTATTTCTTAGCCTCAAATGCACATAAAATCATGCTTTCCAACACACCGAAGAGACAGTCTTGAGAAATACACTGATTACTTGTAAAACACACATTTGCTTAAAGTAACTTTACAAGTCCTCCTAAGGTCCTACCTGCGTTTATTCTTCAGGGGAGGGGGTGTCCACGTGTTACAACTACAGAAAATACCACCATCATATTGCAGAGTAGCTACGATCATCGTGGGGAGGAGCGTGTGAAAGCACAGTCAAGAAAACAAAAGCCCCGTATATAATCGTAGCAATGGCCGTGAAATTGACGAGAATGGCCTCGGATCCGTATTTGTAGAGGCCAGAGTTCTCAAGGAAGGTGAGTTTCTCAAGGAACCCCAAACAGGCATTCCCAACAGCTAACACATACACAAAAGTGCCAAATAGCACATGCCAAGGAAGTGATTCACGTCTGATACTCAGTTTTCCTCCCGGGTAGAAGAAAACCACAAAGCCATAAATCCACTGCATGCAGATTGTTCATGTTACCAGTTATTTCCAGTTAAATAGAGAGGGAGTTATGGACATGTGGGTTAGGAATGTGCACTGAGAATAATAAGCATTTCTAGTTGTAGTATGAGGTGATAATTATCAGTCTTATACTCTTGCATCCCTAAATGATTTGCATACTGTCCTTCGCCCGTCCCAAAACTTCTATCTTGAATTAATGTGGTTTACAAATTCTCTCTTTTACATTCAAATATCAACCAGACTGTGACGAGTCAAATTGGACACTGATTTAGGGATGGGTGGAATATAAATGTTATTGAATCCAGGTTTGGTCTGTGGGACTGCACTGGTTGGTTGGACCAGTGCCCACGGCTCCTGTTTGTGCAAACAACTGTACAAAGGTGCGAAGCTGTGAGAAGCGGTCTGGACAGGAACCATCTATAAGACTGATAATTTTTTTTAAAAGTTCACCATTTTTAAAACTTATTGCAGGTGTAATTTTCTTGATAATCAATTATTTAAAATATAATTATAATTTTATAGTTAACATTAAAGTCTCATTTCGGAAAAATAAAGATAGAATAATGAGTTAATAACCAGCGAACATATCAGATTCAATCTTTTAGTGTGGTTTCAACTTTCAAGTGTCTTATGGCCCATCGGCCTGAACTCTTCTACTACGTATGATTTTATCAAGTATTCAACGGAGTACTATGTAATACATAGTATGTATATTCGATATTGGAATGCTTTGATTTTTTATTACTTACTATACAATCCTTCAGTTTCAAAAATAAATATCACTTTGGGTTTTTTTGTCCCAAAACATATACCACTTTTCTTTTCATGAGGATTAAATATATTTTTCCAACTTGGCGCTTCTCTTAGTTTTTGTGATAGATCTCTGATAGGATCCCAGGCTGAAGAAAATTATTGATAATAGTAATAGAGTGATATTAAATAATGGCGGTAGAGTAAAAATAAGGGTTCTGGGCCATGTATATGGGCTTGGGCCGGCCTTTAAGAATAAAATTAGTATATGAGTGAGAGGGAGGAGAGGGGGAGGTTAGGCAGAAATTGGAATTAGGCTTTGGACTTGGGAGAGGGGACTGCTCGAAGTGTCTCATTCTGATTTCTTCTCTTTCTTTCTGTTTACGCCATTGTAATCCGGTTGAAGTTCTGAAAACCTCATCAATAAACTACTAATTTCTACTGTTGTGCTGGAGGGTGCTAACATTGGTATCAGAGCAGTAGGCCCTAGGAAGCTTCGATTGACATTCACGCAACAAAAAAATGTGGAGAATCGCAGTTCTGGTTTGCGCGCAAATCTGGAGAATAGCACCTGGACGAAGATGGAAACGATGTTGGACGAGATGATACACCATTTGCGTAAACAGCGTCGCAGGAGAATTAGAGGCCGAGCGAGGAGTCCTCCTAGACGTCGTCGGCCAACTGAAAATCAGGTCTCTTCGACCGTTGTTCTTCCTAGTTCGCAATCGCGAACTGCATCCCGTAGTTCGCGGACATCTTCTCAATCGCAATTCTCTTCTCAGTCGCGATCTTCGTCTCAAAGATCGAAATGGCGAACTTCTTCGCAATCGCTACCTTCGTTTACTTGTTCGCAGATGGCAACTCAAGCCGCGCCTCACAGTTCGCAAACTTTGTCGCTATCAGTTGTTCTGAGTTCGCAACTTTCTTCTCCGTTGCAAGCAACTCCTTCTTGTTCTAGTCCTCTGGCTTCGCTGCGTGCAGATATTGTCAGTTCGCAGGTCGACTCACTCGCCGTATCTCACAGCTCATCCGCTTCAGATTCATTCTCTTCCAGAACCTTCGACCTAGTCGCATCAGGAAAGGGACCCCAAGGGACTCTACCAACAACAAGGAACACAAAATGGAAGCAGGTTGCACCATCAGTTATGGAATCAGACCCCGAAGAGGATGTTAATCAACCTACAGGCCTGGAACAGGCAGTTTATTTGTGTAGGGGAGATATGAAACCTCCCGAGTTTGCTGTTAAGGATGAACCTCTTGGTTATTTTGATGTTGGAATGATGATAGAATGGAACAAGATCAAGCACTATGAAGAGATTATGGCTGCAGCAGATAACGATTCCGAAAGCATGGATAGGAGAGAGATAACCAAATTCATATCAGTCAAAATCAATGCTGAAACTGACTTTGAAATTGTAATCGGAAATGCTTTGTGGGGGCAAGCTTATGTGCAGGGTGTAATTCTCTTTCAGAATTTCTATTTGCTGAAGAGACTACACAGTCCGTCGGTCACAGAAGAAGAATTGGAGGTTCATGGGTGTCCTGGTGTGAAACATAAACCCTCCTTTGATGGTGGTGTGATGTACTGGAACCCTTCTGAGTTTTCGGAGACTGGATTTTTGTATCTTCCTTCACTTTGTTCACATGATAGTTCTGAGGTGGGACGAGTGGCAGATATGAAAAGGATTATGGATGACAGGGTTGCCTTCATTTCCTCTCACAGTACTTCTCTTTGCTCTCCCTTTAATCATTTTGGCTCAAGAATTAGTGAATATGCTATATCAAGAAGTAAAGTTCATACTGACAAGGTTGCACAGACAGCAATGGCCACAATGATAGGTGAGAAGTATGCCTCAGCTTCCTTGTCTAATTCCAGAAGCCAAAGAGTTCCAGCGCTTCACGCTGGTAGTTCAAGCTTTGAGCATTGGGGAATAAAGTATTGGCTTCATTATGGAATTAATTTTGAAGAATTTGGGGTACACTTGGATGTCAGTGGTGTAGTTTGGCCACCATGGAGAAGTAAAAGTGTTTCAGGTCATCAATCAACACAGCCTCTGACCGGAGCATTAATGCAAGATCATTCAATTGCAATATCACAGACAACTATTTGAAATGCTGAACGGGCCTTCAGAGAAAGCATCTCTTAGTTTGATCCACATCAATCCTCATGAAGAAATCAACACATTCTATAAACAGTTGGCTGCCTGTGATTTCTCATCTGAGGTGAAGGCTATGTGCCCAATTTTGTCACTTATGTGGGAGATATCTAAGGTAAAGAGCTTGGAGAGCATTAGTACTAGTGCAGCAACAACAACTCTAGACTCTTTCACTACTTCTTTGAGTGTTGCTATTGGGCATAAATCTGGCCAAGTTCACTATTATATGATCGGCAGCAGCTCTGGCTTGGAGAAAACAAGATTGCATTTGATCACTGAACCCAACACTGAAGTTTCCCTTTTCCCAAATGGTGCTGGGTATCAATGCACAGCTATCTTTTCACTTGTACGTTTCCCAGTATGCATCTGGAAGTGCATGGCATCAGGATCCAAAAGGGTTATGGCGTTTGAAAGCCGCCAGGTTGCTCTGCTTGATATTGATTCACCCTCGGTTTTGTTTCTAATGTACAGTCCCTCTAGCTCAAGATCTCTGATCTTTTCTTCTAAGGCATCTCTGGGTGTTCATCAAAGCACGGTGAAACCGGAAGGACTTGCTTTGTGCGTAACCAGAGATGGACACATTATTTTAATGACTAGCAGCATTGGCAGTTTGATCAATTCGCAGCCAGTGCATCCAGAGAAGGATATTGAAAGCAAAGATCAAACAGCACCATCTGATCATGAGGAACAAAACCATTACAAAGATCCCAACAATCAGTGTGTTCTCCAGGCAAGCAAGCTCATGGTTCGGCCATCAGTTAGATATTGGGAAGGAAGAGGCGCCAGGATGAAAATGAAGTTGACGATCAAGGCCTTTTCCTATCACCCACCTTGAGGACAAGGTGGTTGTCTAAGGGGGGAGATATGATAGGATCCCAGGCTGAAGAAAATTATTGATAATAGTAATAGAGTGATATTAAATAATGGTGGTAGAGTAAAAATAAGGGTTCTGGGCCATGTATATGGGCTTGGGCCGGCCTTTAAGAATAAAATTAGTATATGAGTGAGGGGGAGGAGAGGGGGAGGTTAGGCAGAAATTGGAATTAGGCTTTGGACTTGGGAGAGGGGACTGCTCGAAGTGTCTCATTCTGATTTCTACTCTTTCTTTCTGTTTACGCCATTGTAATCCGGTTGAAGTTCTGAAAACCTCATCAATAAATGTAGAAAAATGTAGCGTATTCATGTTATTTTATTATGTGTACATCCGGAACTGTATAGATAGGAAGTAGAGTTGATTTAGGACTCTAACTCTTAGATTATCACGCAATGTAGATAAGAATAGATAGATCCTAAATATTAGGATCTGTAACAAACCTTAGCTTATCTGTAATTTTGTATTTATATCATTGCCGGATGGCTCAATAATACATGGAAGATTAATTCTTCAAACATACATGGTATCAGAGCCTCGATTTAAACAATGGTAGAAACCAGTGAAGCTGATTCCTCACACACTACCAACCCTAACTCCCAAATTAGCTCTATGACAAATTACCAGTCTCCTATTCATTCATCTATGATAATCACTAGTCATAGATTGAATGGAACAAACTATCTGGAGTGGTCTCAATCTGTCAGACTTGCAATTGATGGGAGGGGAAAGCTGGGTTACATCACAGGAGAAATCCAACCAAAAATACCTGCAGAAGAAGGGTACAGTACATGGAGGTCGGAGAATTCACTCATAATAGCTTGGCTTCTCAACTCCATGGAGCCCCTAATTGCCAAACCTCATATGTTTATGAAAACTGCAAAGGAGGTATGGGATTCTATTAAGGAAACTTATTCAGACCTTGAGAACTCTTCTCAAATATTTGAACTCAAAACCAAATTGTGGCAATCTAAACAAGGAAATAGGGATATTATTTCATACTACAATGAAATGGTATCTTTGTGGCAAGAATTAGATCAATGTTATGATGATGAAGAGTGGGAGAGTGTTAAGGATCTGACCAGACATAAGAAAAAAGAAGAGAATGATAGGGTCTATATGTTTCTAGCAGGGATCAATAGGGACCTAGATGAAGTTAAGGGGAGGATACTTGGAAAAAAACCTCTACCTTCTATCAGGGAGGTATTTTCTGAAATCAGGATGGAGGATAGCAGGAAGAAGGTCATGTACAACACTCCAGCACCTAATGAGGAACCTGGGGAATCTTCAGCTTTGGTGGCCAGAAGTGATGACAACAAGAAAAAACCTTGGTGTGATCACTGCAAGAAACTGTGGCACACAAGGGATACATGCTGGAAACTCCATGGAAAACCACCAAGAGTTGGGAAGAAGAAAGTAGAAAGGGCCCTACAAACTACTGTGACTGAGACTCAACAAGAGGCAGGAGTTGAACCTAAACAGCTACCATTCACTCAGGAACAGATAGAGTACCTACTCAGATTCATACCTACCCAGAAAATCTCCAATCCTGAAAACCCTACCTGTTCTTTTGCCCAGAATGGTAAAATAACATCATATTTTTGTTCTGAAAAAACTAAAAACACCTGGGTCATTGACTCAGGTGCAACAGACCACATGACCTATATTCCAAAGTTTTTTTCTTCTTATCAACCTTGTGCAGGAGATAAAAAAGTTAGAGTTGCAGATGGCTCTTTCTCAGCCATAGCAGGGATGGGAAATATTAAAATTTCCTCATCCATTAACCTTTCCAAAGTCTTACATGTTCCTAAACTTTCCTGCAATCTTATCTCTATTAGCAAAATTACTAAAGATCTTCAGTGTTGTGTAAAATTTTTTCCCTCTTATTGCATTTTTCAGGATCTGGCATCAGGGAAGATGATTGGCCGTGCTAGAGAGGAAGATGGCCTCTATACTTTTGATGAAGGAACACAATTGAATAAACAAGGTCAAGAAAAAACTTGTTTGCAAACTGTTTTTCCTTGTAATAATGAAGTGTACCTAATGCACTATAGATTAGGTCACCCAAGTTTTTCCTATTTGAAAATGTTGTTTCCTAAGTTATTTCTTAATAAAAATCCTTCATCATTTCATTGTGATATGTGTGCACTTGCCAAACATCATAGGAATTCTTACATCCCTCATAGTTACAAACCAACTAGTCCTTTCACTATTGTAGACAGTGATATCTGGGGTGCATCTAGAGTTTCAACTCTGAAAGGAAAAAGGTGGTTTGTAACTATCATAGATGATCACACAAGGGTCACATGGGTGTTTTTACTTAAAGAAAAATCTGAGATTGAAGAGGTGTTCAAACAATTTTACTCAATGATCCAAACTCAATTCAACACTAATATCAAAATTGTGAGAAGTGATAATGGACTTGAGTATTTTTCTAAGAAGTTAAATACTTTTTTTGCTGAAAAAGGGATTGTTCATCAAAGTTCCTGTGTAAATACTCCTGCTCAGAATGGAATAGCTGAGAGGAAAAATAGACATTTACTTGAAGTTACTCGTGCAATAATGTTTTCTGCCAAAATTCCAAAATATTTATGGGGAGAAGCTGTTTTACATGCTACCTATCTAATTAATAGGATGCCATCAAAAACTCTAAGATTCAAAACTCCTATTGATACTCTTCAAACTTGTTTTCCTGAAACTAGACTAATTAATTCTCTTCCCATAAAAATTTTTGGGTGCACAGTTTTTATTACCAATCCTGACAGAACTGCAAGTAAATTTGACCCTAAGGGAAAAAAATGTGTTTTCTTAGGACTCTCTTCAACTCAGAAAGGCTATAAATGTTTTGACCCTATAACAAAAAAGATGTTTATAACTATGAACACTGTTTTTGTAGAAGATCAACCTTTTTTTGGTACTCATCTTCAGGGGGAGATTCCTAATGAAGATGGTAATAATGTATCACATATCCTTGAAAAACTAGAACCTCTTGACATTAATCTAGATGCACAGTATAATAGACAGTTAGATGCACTAGAAAATAGTCAAGAGTCAAAAGAAAATGAATTTTTTTTTTCTGAAACAAGGAAAGATGATGAACAGCAGACAAGTAAGTTTTTTGGCAAGGTTTATGAAAGGAGAGTTCCAAATCACAGAATAGAGGACATCCCTGATCCTGCCACTGTCAATGAATCTGACTCAATGCCAGAAAATGACAAAGGTAATAATTTCAGTGATCTAAATCTACCCATTGCTCTCAGAAAAGAAAAAAGGTCATGTGTTAAATACCCTATCTCAAACTATCTGTCCTATTCTCAGTTATCTACATCATTTGCAGCTTTTACCTCTAGCCTTTCCATTGTCTCTATTCCCTTAACCATACAGGAAGCCCTATCTATACCTGAGTGGAAGAAGGCTGTTTTAGAAGAAATGAATGCCCTTGAAAAGAATCAGACATGGCAGACTGTAGAGGTACCCAAAAATAAACCAAGGGTTGGATGCAAATGGGTGTTTACTCCTAAATTCAAGGCAGATGGTACACTTGAAAGATATAAGGCCAGACTGGTTGCCAAAGGATACACACAAACCTATGGCATAGATTATACAGAAACTTTTGCACCAGTTGCAAAATTAAATACTATAAGGATTCTACTATCTCTAGCTTCTAACCTAGACTGGCCTCTTCAACAGTTAGATGTGAAGAATGCTTTCCTAAATGGGAAGCTTGAAGAGGAAGTATACATGAGCCCTCCTCCTGGGTTTGAGGAACAATATGGCTCAAAGGTGTGCAAGCTAGAGAAAGCCTTATATGGGCTTAAACAGTCTCCAAGGGCTTGGTTTGAAAGGTTTACTCAGTTCATAAAGAAGCAGGAATTCAAGCAAGCCCAAGCAGATCATACACTATTAATGAAATTCTCCATTAAGGGAGAAATTGCAGTACTAATTGTTTATGTGGATGATATAATTCTTACAGGAAACTATTGTGAAGAGATTGAAGACCTGAAGAAGAAGCTTGCTCAGGAATTTGAAATCAAAGACCTGGGAGAATTGAAGTATTTTCTTGGCATGGAGATAGCCAGATCAAAGAAGGGAATTGTGGTATCCCAAAGGAAGTATGTACTAGACCTACTTCATGAAACAGGTATGAGTGCATGCAGACCAATAAATACTCCAATTGACCCTAATCAGAAGTTAGGAAATGTCAAGGAAGGAGTACCAGTTAATATTCACCAATATCAAAGATTGGTGGGAAGGTTGATTTATCTGGCACATACAAGGCCAGATATTGCCTTTGCAGTCAGTATGGTTAGTCAGTTCATGCATAATCCATTCCAAGAACATCTAGATGCTACCTACAGGATCCTAAGATATTTGAAAAGTTGTCCAGGGAAAGGATTATTTTTTAAAAGAAGTGACAATAGAAGTGTAGAAGCCTTTACAGATGCAGATTATGCTGGGTCAATAACTGATAGAAGGTCTACATCTGGATATTGTACTTATGTATGGGGGAATCTGGTGACTTGGAGGAGTAAGAAGCAGAATGTTGTTGCCAGAAGTAGTGCAGAATCTGAATTTAGATCTATGGCTAATGGAATCTGTGAGCTACTTTGGATCAAGAGAATGATGACAGAGTTGAATATGGAAATGAACCTACCTATGAAATTATATTGTGACAATAAAGCAGCCATTAATATTGCTCACAATCCTGTGCTACATGATCGTACTAAACACATTGAGGTGGACAGGCATTTTATCAAAGAGAAGATTGAAGCTGGAATTGTGTGCACACCATTCATATCTACTAAAGAGCAGACAGCTGATATCTTTACAAAGGGGCTGTTTAAACCAGTGTTTGAGTTTCTTATAAGCAAGTTGGGAATGTATGATATATACTTACCAACTTGAGGGGGAGTGTAGAAAAATGTAGCGTATTCATGTTATTTTATTATGTGTACATCCGGAACTGTATAGATAGGAAGTAGAGTTGATTTAGGACTCTAACTCTTAGATTAACACGCAGTGTAGATAAGAATAGATAGATCCTAAATATTAGGATCTGTAACAAACCTTAGCTTATCTGTAATTTTGTATTTATATCATTGCCGGATGGCTCAATAATACATGGAAGATTAATTCTTCAAACATACACTACTAATTTCTACTGTTGTGCTGGAGGGTGCTAACAATCTCATTTATTGTTATTGATAGGGCCATTTGGTACAAGTTTCTTAATCAGTGTGAAATGACTTATGTGACTGATATTTGGATCAGTCATATGATCCAAGTTGGAGCTCAAATGTTGACAAATTTGAAATGACTTATATGACTGGATCAGCAATTCCCCAGTTGGAGCTCAAACGTTGTCACCAACTAAACATCCAAACATGAAAAGCATCAACCATATGATTGGTGTGCACAAAATTAGAATTACCTGAATGGCATAAAGAACCACAACCCCAATGCCAATCCAGGAATGCAAACTGTACAAATTAGGAATGTTGCTTTCATTGTGATTCTTGAAGGCTGCACATATCCCCACTATCCCAAATACCAAAGCAACAGCATGCAAACTTAGATGGATCACCTTTTGCACTTCCTGCTTCAATGGGAATGCTTTGTAACTCATGATAGCTGCAGTTTCATAAACCAAGCACAAGGTCAAGTAATTAAACTGGAAACATGAATTTATAAAGAAAAACTAAGGTGCGAATTTCCCTTCACCTTCTCCTCCAAGAATAATGAAGCCAATAAGCATCAAGACAGGGTGAAGCTGCGAAACGAACAGAACGATATACAATTTTAACTGCTTATCAAATTGATCATAAACTAGCTGAATTTAATAAAACTAGCACTCCATCCCTGACTTAAAGTGCTGTTATGCGCACCATATTTTGTGCTTAATAGTTATTAACTTATTACATATTCTGATTGTAATCAGGTCAGACCGTAGTACCGTACTAGACCAGAATCATTCAAAACAGACTAAGGGTGTCAACAAACTGAGCCCAGCCCGAACACCACGAGTTTGAGTTCGGCTCAACTGGGTAATCTTGGTGTTTGAGTTCGGCTCAATTGGGTAATCTTGGTGTTCGGGTTCGAGCTCTAAGCTCAATTGGGTAACATCGTCTCGATAGATGTTCGATTTGAGTGATCGATAAGCTCAATAAGTATGTTCAAGCTTATGGTTGTTAATTGGCTTGTACTACAGTATTAAATGATCCGATAAGTACTTGATTTGTTAATAACCAAATCCAAATTAAAAAGTTATATTTAAAAATATACTAAATTTCCCCTATAATTTATTAATTTCTATAGAAATTAGTTCAAATAGGATTAAAACTATGGCAAAAACCTAAAATAGGATTTGCTATGTTTTTATTCCAAAATAGGACCATATGAGTCCTATTGGAAACATACCTATTTTTGCATTCCATTCTTACCCTTCCATTAAATATGAATTAAAAATAGTCAAAAGCCATAATTAAATGTTTAATTCATAATAAATTCGAAAAAAATCCAAAAATTCGTAGAAATAAAATTAAAAAAATTATAAAATTTTTATAAAATAAAAAATTCAAAAACTTTTTTTTTTAAATAATTTTATTTTAAAAAAAAAAAAAAAATAGTAAAACTCCGTAAAAAAAATTTAAAAAAATATGGATGCCTTTCCCACCGCCTGTACTACCTCCCAGCACCACCACCTCCGGCCGATGAAAAAATGCCATTTTCCCAGAAAAATGCCATTTTTTTCTGAAAATGCCAAAAAAGTGGCATATTTCTCTTTTCGAATGCCAACATTTTCATTTTTTCTGCCATAAATATGGCATTCGTAATGAACTTGACATTTTTTCCCCTGTTGACTGGAGGTGGTGGTGCTGAGGCGGCAAAGGTGGCGGCGATTTTTTTTTTGAGTTTTTATTTTTTTTAATTTTTTTTTTAATTTTTTTAATTTTTTGAAAAAAAAAATTTATTAAATTCTTAATATCGAAATGTTTTTCTTAATTTTTTAGTATTTTTTACGAATTTTTATTATTTTTTTTATTATTTTATTATTTTATTAGGAATTAAAACATTTTAATAGCTATAAGGGTATAATTGTCCAAGGTACACATAATTAGTCTTATGCAAACATAGTTTACTTTTTGGTCCTATTTGTGAAAAGTGAATGACTTTTAGTCCTATTTTGATAATTAACTCTAATTTCTAATAGGCTCTAGCCTGAACCAACACTACTATGCGTGTGTGTTAATGCTCTCCTTGAATAAATATTCAAACTTTAAAATTCTAATCCTTCTCGTATTCGAGTTTGAACTTTAAAGCTCGTTGAGCTTGGTTCATTACGTTGGGAATCAACCACGGGTTCGAAGAAATCGAAGAATGCTCATTTTGTTGAAAGCCCGAGACTAGATCAAGAAAAAAATTAAAAATCAATCACAAGACAATACAAACTTAGATTACAAGATTGAAAACATTCAGGTTAGACTAAATGAGAACATGAAGATACAGACTAGGCTAAACCATGCTAGATCTTGATATTTTTTAGATCAACTCACAGTTTTAGGTGAAGGGAACATGTCTAGTGTGTTTGGATCGTAGAACATGATATCTTTTAGTAAAAGCTACATCCAGCCTTATATGACGACCTACATAGTAATTTGCAGTTTGATTTCATTACAAGCCTGTATTAGTTAAGGATTGTAATTATATTGTATTCAGCTACAACAGTTTCACAATTCAACCCTCAAACAACAACAAGGGCCTGTTCAGTAAGAGACATATGGTTGAAATGACTGAATCTCCTACAAATTCTCAAAAGGAAAATTGTCTTCTAAGACTCTAGGCTCCATTTCAACCTATAAGTTAAAAACTATTTATTCTGCTGACAAGCAGAATAAGCAACCTTTGGCAACCAAACAGAGCCTCTCGGGGGGGGGGGGGGGGGGGGGGGTAGCTTCTTGAAGGTGATTCACCATTGCCATCCGTAGAATTTAGAACATTAGGGGTCTGTTTACTAACAAAGATATTTTCCTATTTTTCAGTATTCCAGAAAACTGGAAAACTAGAAAACAGGAAACGTGTTTACCAAAGAAAATTGCTGGCAAACTGGAAAAGGAAAACAGAAAAACGCATTTACCAAATCGTTTTCCAAAACGAAAAAATGAGACATGTCTCTCTTTTCCTTAATGAATTGGAGAAGTGACTTTTACTAGTTTTACAAATTTGGAAAATGCAGATGCTACAGGCCGCTGCAATGAAATTGCATACTTACACCTAGTGGTGGGTCCGGTCCCGCTCCGATGTCGATTACATTCTAGTACCTCCATCCTCGTACCTTACCTCTTACCCCTACCCTACCCTACCCACCCAACCCCCACTCCGCATACCCCTTTTCCCTACAATGACCCTACCCCCACCCCCTACCACATGCCCCTACCTTGGTCCCACCCCGATCCACCCTACCCTACTACCACCCCTTACCACCTCAACCCAACCTTGACCCACCCTACCCTACCCCACCTCGTATATTACCCCTTACCCCTACCTTACCCCTTCTCACATGCCCCCTACCTCGGCCCCACCCTATCGCCATCCTAACCCCACCCCCACCCTACCTCTTCCCCTACCTCAGCCCCACCCTACCGCCATCCTATCCCAACTCCCTACCCTACCCCTACCTTACCCCAAGCCCAACCCTACTCACTACCCCCACCCTTACCCCTAACCCACCCACTACCCCACACAACCCCGTACCCCTAGACCTTACCACCCCACCCCCACTCATACCTTCCTTCACTACCCCGACCCCTACGAGTAGGTATGGGTAGGTATGAAGGGTTTTAGGGGAGTATGTGTAGAGCGTAAGATTGTGGTAAGGGTAGGGGGTCAAGGGTGTGGAATTGGGTGTAGGTGTAGGGTGGGGTACGAGGTATTGGGGTAGGGTAGGGTTTAGGAGTATGGGTACACGTACGAGGTGATCGACCCCACATATTATATTATATATTTGTGTTCATGAATGTTTGTGTGTCTATATATGTATAGAGTTATTTTGGACATTTTAATGTTAAACGGTGTTTTAAACCTTTTGAAAGACACATGATCTTATAACATTGCTTATTTTATGCGTCTCTTATTAACGCGAGTCTTAATAAGCACCACTTAGTAACCTGTGAAGTAAACGCGCCAGTCTTCTGGATGATCAGAGAATTGGGTGAAAAATGAAAAATTGATGAACATAGAAACAGAAAACTGGAGATAGAAAAACTGAAAAATATAAAACAGAAAATTGTAGAACGAAAAAAAGAAGTAGAAAAAATGAAAATATCTCTTTTAGTAAAAGGGCCCTAGGTTTTTAGAGCGTTGGGCAAAATTCTCAAAAGGGGCTCTGGAGTTGTGAGATTTTAGACTCTTGAGCTTGATTTAGACACCACTGTTAGTGAGTTATGCTTCTGAAAATCTGATTCTAATTAATGATTATCCTTATACTTTTGAGTCATTTGTTTCAAGAATGACATTGCTACAAGTCCTACAACTTGCAAGTAAACAATTAAATCTGATTTTACAACTACGACTTAATCCATTATGTAAACATAACAATAATCAAATTATGATACTAATGTTCACAAACAAAATTAGAATCGGCTGAGGGCTGAGGCCAAACACTCACTAACAGTGGTGTCTAAATCAAGTTCAAGAGTCTAAAATCTCATAACTTGACTTCAAATTCAAACAGAACAAAACAAAAGTGTGACTGAAAGCGCCCTAGAAGTGAACTTAAATAAATCCCGGACATATAATCAACTCAGAGAGGAGAACACAAAGATACATACATTAAAGATGAGATTTTTGTTGGTAGCTTCCCAAGCTAATCCACCCCTGAAGTGAATGGCCCATACCAACACCAGCACGGCCAGAGCGACGGCAAGAAAGTGCGCCACAAAGGAGAAAGGTAACGACTTTGCCGAAATCGCCATATCTCTTTCCCACTGTTTCCTGAGCAGAAAGGTGAGAATGTGAGATCTTTATGGTGTTCAGATCGAAAGCGTCGACCTAGTAATCTATCTTCCTGGGTGAGACGCCACGTCGTGTGGTGGTTTGAAAGCTGGAGTCGTGTTTCGTTCCTTAAACCAACCGGTCAACCTGGCAGCCATGGCCTGTGGACTTTCAGACATTTATTATCTCATTTTCGTATGGCGGTTAGGTAAGAACATTGGTACATTTGGTGAAGCCACTCGAAGTCTATAAGTAGGATTCAGTAAATGTACTGTGTACAAGAGTCACATTTCAATTTCCTCTATATAGACGATATAATGAATAGAGATTAAGATGGTGACAGAACCGGAGTTTTTTTTCCGAAGTAATGTTAATTAATTACTACGTCTCTTAAATCTTTGCCAAAATTGATCGGTACGGAGAATAATAAAGTAAAAATTGTGTTGTTGAGATTTGTGCAGAGGAGAGAGAAATGACAGAAACCACAAAATAATTGATTAAAAAGAAAAATGACAAAGTTTTTTGGGACGGTCCAAAAAAGAAAGATGACAAAGTTTTAAGGGACGGAGGGAGTAATTAGTTATGAAAATAATGCTGGAAAGAAGTATTTACCGATCTACTGCTGGGTTTAACCATGGTCATGGAAAGTCGTTCAACGGTTGGGCGACTTATAAGTCGCCAAATCGTTTGGCGACTTATAAGTTGCCCAACTGTTGGACGATTTTCCCTTCCATATGAACGCATCCCAACATCTACTGCCAGCCACGCACGATCGTGCCTGCAAGGGGCACGATCGTGCCTAATTCCGAAAACAGAATTTCATCATTTTTTTTGCCCCAGTTCAACCCAAAGTCATCTGTTTGCTATAAATAAGGTCTCCCTTCTCCTGTTTAAGTGTTACGAGCCAGATACAACACATTATAAAACATACAACACACATGTTCACAAACACATACATAACATTACTGTCAACAACATACAAAACACCTTGTAAAGACCCTTTACAAATCGAATACAAAACCTTAGATTCATAACCGGTAAAACACGGTACAATCATCCAATATTCATAACAAGTAATCATCTAATATCATACTCGAACACATCAAGACAACATACAAGAGTTTAGAAGAGAAAATACGTAAAAGGTTGTAAATTGTTCCTACAACATCTATTGTACAAGAAAAACTGCAATACAAAAGGCAAACTAAAATTTCTCATGGTCATCTTAATCATCGTGGTAATGGAGATGTTGTTGCTGATGTCTACGCCTACGTCGTGGTTGTGGTCGTGGTCCTCACTCCTGTGCGAGGCCTGCAATGTCAGGACAGAATGATCACTCGGCCCAGGATCCGCTGTCACCTCCATGCCTACAAACAAACAAAATCGTATTAGTTATTTTTTACTATTATACTAATTCTTTTTTTAAATTATCCATTTTATTGAATAAAACCTTATCCACTTGACCCCCCATCGTGTGTTGACATTCTCTTCGCACATGTGGCCCTATTATGGCCGGTTTTGTGGCATTTTCCACATCTAATCGTTCCTCGGGGACCTTTATCCATCTCATTCTTAATACGTGTCGACATAGGTCTTCCCTTAGCCCGAAGCATGGATGGATCGTGCACGATTTCAGGTCCATTGTAATTAGGCCAATAATCCCGATCATGATTGGGTTTGAAGACTCTATGATATGTGGCCGCGTATTGGTCAGATGTGAAAAACTTATCCACAAATGGAGCATAAGACAAACTACGTTGTCTGCACACGGCTAACACATGGGAGCATTGAATCTTACATATCTCCATCTTTTTACAAGTGCAAGTTTTCCGTTTTAGATGGACAGTTTGTTTTCTCCCACTCTTCCCCAACGTTCGGCCACCACAACCGGTTTCCACTTGAAATATCCCTCAGCTTAAATCAAATGGAGTAACTGTGTGATGCTTCACCTTCTCTCTATTCTTATCAATTAAATATGTGATGTATGAGGAGTACTCGTGGCCTTCTATCACTCTCATTTTGCTGGTTTCACGCCTATTAACAAAATAAGCATTAACCCGGTAAAAGGAAAACTGGACCAAAGCGATGATGGGCAAAAATCTGACATTTTTCATCACGCTATTAAAAACCTCTGCCATATTAGAAGTGATGGTACCGTATCTGTACCAGCCATCATGGTGCAATGACCACATTTCCGGGGGAATATTCCCCAGAAATTGTCGTGCCTCCAATCTCATTTCACTTATCTTCTTGAACCCACCGGCAAACTTCTTTTTCTGATGTTGTCGTGCGGTCCAGACAAAAGAGAATTTTTAGATGAATGTCTTTGAAATGAGTGTGCACATTCGATGCAAGATGGCAGATACATAGCCTATGATGCGCATAAGGCTCCTCAATTTAGCTACATTCAAATCTACCGAAATGCCCAAATGTCAAATTACACTTTGAAATTTACAATCAATTTAAAATCAAATTTCAACTTTTCATACATATCCACATTTCACAACAACTCAATTCACAATCAATTCATAATCTAAAAATTCGAAAATTTTAACATTCAAAACCCTAAGTTCAAAATGAGATGAAATGGAGTTTGATTTACCTACAAGAAAGAAGAAAGAGTGTTGAAGATGAAGATGGAGGGTTGCCGGAGTGGGGTCGCCGGAGATGGAGGTTCACTCGGTCGTCGTTCGTCCTTCGTCCTTCGTCACTGCGGCTTGGGGGATTTGGGGATTGGGTTTACGTCGTTCTATTTTGTGACTGGCCGATGTTTTTACTTAAGGGAAAGTCGTTCAACGGTTGGGTGACTTACCCCGACCATGGTTAACCCAGCAGTATATTGGTAAATACTTTTAACTCAACCTTATTTTCGTAATTAATTAATTAATTAACATTAATATGAAAAAAAAACTCGGATAACCGCACTGAATTGTTCTGGTCAAAATGGGAAAAATTGCATTGACCAGGTAAGGCTATGGGGTGAGGAATAACTGTTTTGTTTTTACGTGTAACTGTTGGTCCCGTTTGGTATGGGAACAGTCTAGAGGGGGGGGTGAATAGACTGTTCAGGATTTTAAACTTTTCTCTAAGTCACAACTGACTTATCAGAGATGGTCGAATTCTGGTGACAGAGAAGGTCAAGTTCTTATGGCAGAACTGGACCTGGCAGCGGATTGGTTTCTGTCCGGGTAGCCTCAGAAAACACTAAGGCAAATGCCTTTCTGATAACTCTTGAGGAAGATCTGCTTAACACAGAGTCCAACCTTTTGAGTTAAACAGTCAAGTTCTTAAGTGCAGAAATAAATGAGTAAAGTAAATGACACCGGGGATTTTTATAGTGGTTCAAGGAACAACTTGTTCCTCTAGTCCACTGTTCCACTAAGCTTGCAAAAATAGCAGTTTACAACGCCTTAGTCCCTGATACTTAAGAAGCACTCCACGTCTCCTTCAAGCCTAGTTGCCACCCGGGATGCAGTCCTGCTTCCTGATGGTTGGTCTCGTTTCACTGAGTCTCTTGGAAGTATCACCACTTCACTTACTCCAGTTAGTTTGAGACGCCCCTTCTTTTTCAAGAAGTGTTTGATTCAAGATCAGTTTTCTCCAACGTTGTTTCTTCACAAAAGATGTGTAGATGATGCTTTCTAAGTGTTGAAGAACTGAGGAACTTTGCTACTTGTTAGTTGGATGAAGGATAAGAGAGTATATCTTCCAACTTGAGCTTTTCTTGTTGAGGTAGGAGAGTCTTTGATCTCAAGAAAGCTTGAAGGTATTTAGTTCAGAGTAAATAATTTGAGCAAGTTTTTGTAGCAAAAGTTATCATGGTAGTTCTTCAAAGTGTATCTTATATACTGGGAGCAGTCTTCCCGTTGGAGTGTAGAAGACAGCTTCATTAAATGCTTGTATTGTGGACTTTACCGGTTGGACCTTCGACTTGCTATTTTGGGGGCGCGAAGATACTCGCATGGTCAATCATCAGCTTTAAATATATCTTCGTACGTACAACATTAATTGAGCATTTAATGCGTGTACAGTACCATGTTCCCGTCGAATGGCTCCTAGCCGTTAGAGGATTTCCCGTTAGTTTAACGACCGTTGTTAAGTGCCTTCGAGTTCTGCTAGGTAAGAGCAGGTCTGATGAGGTTTTCTGATCCGAACTCTGATGACTGTTTCTGATGCCAACTCTGGTACCCAACTCTGGTAGCTTCTCTGGAGAGCAGCTCTGGGAGCAACTCTGGTAGATATTCTGATAAGGAAGACCAAGAGGGTTTCTGGCATGTCGACTATGCTAGTACATACAAAGACAAATTCTAATACAAAATTTCTATAGGGGTACTTTCAAATTCTAATTAACCTAGCATCATCAAAATCTAATTACATTTATTCCTTACAGTAACGGGGCGGTTACATTTTATACATGTCCATCCCATTGCCCGTCCCGTTTATTTTTAGTTATATTTTTATTACATTCTTACCCATTATTTGTCTCACATTGCCCGTCTCAACTAATAAAAGATGAGATTTTTCTATTTTCATCGTGTATATATGAATGATAGATGTCCTAACTATAGTGTATGAATGGAAGTTCATAATAGATCTTAATAGTCTTGTTTGATTATTATCACATTTTTTCGTGGTTCATTATTTTTTAGATTAAATATTTTAGGTTCAAATTAATTTAGGTTATTTTCTTTCTCATCTTGCAGATATACGAAACTTTAAAGTGGCGTCTCAGTCTAGAGTTGTGTAGGTGATGCCATTTTTCTCCTTTTATATTAAAATATCAATGACTCGTTTATTAAAGCGATTATCTACGGTTACCCACAATTATATTTGTTACCTGTTGGGGCGGTTATGATTTGGGTAAAAATTACCCGTTGTGTAATGAGGCAGTTATGGGGCGGACGAATTACCAAACGGGACGAGTACGGTTATATGTAAAACTGTTTCCGATCCGCCTTGTTACCATTCCCTAATAATGATAAACAATTGTAAGGACATGATAACATGGAAGAAATTAAGAGAGTTTGTTTTTTGAAGGTGTGATTATAATTAGGGAGAAAACTAGGCTTACTTAGTACTAGTAATAAAAATCTTCCTGTTCAGAATTTCCGGACAAGATCGTTGTCTGACCACCTTAGTTTTAGATAGTTTCACGTAAAATTCTCTAATAAAATTTTCAGAGCATGCTCTCCATCAAATGTAGATTATGTCAACCAAATTTCTGCTACAAATTTCGAATTGAACTTTTTTGCTGAAATGGGTTACATCGCTTA